GCATCCCGCTAACTGATGTCTGCTTGACTGGACCGAACACATCTGAGTGAATTAACTCTAGTGGCTTCTTTGCTCTAAAATTTGACTCCTTGTATGGTAATTGATGAGCCTTACCATACTGACATCCAGCACAAACACCATCTGTTTTAACTTCAAGTTGAGGTAAGCCATTGAGCATGGATTTCTCCATTATTACCTTCAACTTGTGATAACCAACATGTCCCAGCCGTGCATGCCATAGATCTGCTGTCTCGTTCTTACGAGTCTTGTCTACATAGGCAGACTCTGCGGAGAGCACATAAACGGACTCCACTCTCCGTCCTTCCATCGTTGGCTTTTCTGATATTTTAAGATCTCGATAGACCTTCACATCTTGTGGGCCAAACAAGACGTAGTTTCCTGACGATGTTAGTTGCGATACCGACAACAAGTTCTTCTTCATACCTGGCACGTGATAGACATTATGTAGTGACACCATGTCAGATTTATTACCAGGCATGATTGTTGTTTTTCCAATCTGAGCAATTGGAAGTCGTGCATTGTTGGCTGTAAGTACCATGCGACTCCCTTTGTACTCCTTCACGTCTTGTAGTTTGTTCTGATCGCCAGTCATGTGATTGGAGCATCCTGAATCAATGATCCAGTCATTTTCATAGTCGATACGCTCTCCCATAATTGCCATGAGTGCCAACTCGTTTTCTTCTATGGCACATAATGCCTCAGCATCCCATTCATCCTCTATTTCCTTTTTGGAAGTTACAACATTGCTTTCCACAGACTTTTTCTTTGACCAACAATCCTTGGACATGTGGCCCCACTTTCCACAGTTGTTGCAGTTGCCTTCGAACCTCCTCCCCCGAGAACTCTTATTGTCGGTCTTTTGAGATCTCCATGGTTGTGAGGTTCCTGGTTGACTCTTCCCTTTGTCAGCATTTTTGTATCCTTCTTTAGAAGGTGGCTTGAAATTCCTCCGACTTTTACTTGTGTAGAGTGCTTCTTCTTCACTCTTCAGCGTGATGCCTCCCATTTGCTTAGCCATAGCTTCTTGGCTGGCCAAAATTCTCAAACTCTACAAGTGATGGTTGAACGGGCCATCCTTGTACAGCAGTAATGAAGCTTCTATATTCTGGCCTGAGTCCATGGATAATGATCCTTTTCATTCGAGCTTCTGCAATGACGGATTGCGATCTAGTTCGTAATCTCCCGACATATCGACTTGACCTTGTGGAAATATTGAGCAATCGTCATGTCACGTTGTGAGATTGATAATAGCTCGTTCTCCAAAAGTTGTAGTCTCGTATCATTCTTCTTTGAGAAAAGCATCACAAACGTGTCCCAAGCTTCTTTCGGGGTGTTCTCATCCCGAATATGCTCCAACATCTCTTCTTCGATTGTGGTCTTCAAGGCAAACATTGCTTTGCCTGCTTTGATTTTCCATTTGCGCAAAGCACCATTAACGTCTTCCTCTGGTGGCGTAGTTTCGCTTCCACCAACGACCTCCCATAGATCTTGTCCTTGTAAGTAGGACTTCATACATGTTTCCCACGTTTTGTAGTTGTTGTTGTTGAGTTTCTTGATTCCTCCGACGACTTGGAGATCACCCATCGTGTTGGCAGTACCTCGGTAATACCAAACAAGCTAGTTTCGACACTAAACTTGCAGAGTCACAAACTACTCACGATACAACGAGAATCACTCGTTCTCACTATCAAGAAACCTTGCTCTGATACCAGATTGTTGAACACGACTCTTTGTATGGGAAACAACAAGACTTTTATTAAGACACTTAAGAAGACCTTACACTTTGTGAGACTACTACACACTTTGCTTTCTTTGAGGCTTTCTTGGATGGTTTGGAGCAAATGAGCTCCATACCTATTTATAGGCCTCTTAGGAAGGTTCTAGATACTAGCATACACTTACTACATACTAGATAACTCTAGAACATACTCTACATCCTTCCATATGTTTCTAGAACATTCTACCATGTTCTGGAGAAGTCTAGGTTGCTCCAGTGTCTTCTAGAATGATCCATAACCTTCCAGGGTCTTCCATGTCGTTCTAGAGTATTCTAGACTCTTCCGGTATATTCCAGAGTCTTCCATAGTCTTCCATAATGTTCTAGAATCTTCTAGAGCATTCTAGAACAAGCTAAAGTTTTCTAAATAATATTTTTTTTATTGGGCTAGTGATGATCTTTAACAGATTATATTTTAAATGTGACACGTGAAGGACCGATTTAAGTGAAGTCCTTGAAACTTTGTATCACCCATTCCTATAACCGGTAACACAGTGCCATTTGCCACACATACTCCAGGTTCATCACCACATGTTCTATAGTTGCTTAAGTTTCTACAATCTCCGGTCATATGATCAGAGGCACCAGTATCAACAATCCAGTCATCTAAATCTGTTTTCTTTGTTAACAGAGACATTTTTATGTTACCGTGATGCGTAGTTGCTATTTTAGGTGCTGGTTCAAGTGCTCCAGAGCATTGTAATTCACGGAGAAGGGACCTTAGAGTCTCCATATTTTGTGGAGTGAGTTTGTTGATGTCGGAGCTTAGTGGCTGGGTTTGCTCGACTACATGAGCAGAAGGAGTTTCTCTACGCTGACTTAGTGACTTCCAATCCTTTGGCTTTCCATGTATTTCCCAGTAGGTTGCCTTCGTATGGAAAGGTTTCTTGCAATGTTCGTACCAATGACGAGCATCCTTCTTTGCCTTATGATTTTGAGAATGAGAAGACATAAGGGCTGACCCTTGCAGTTGTTCTTCCGGAAAAATGCCCTCGTTTGATGTGAGCATAACTCTACGTCGGCTTTCTTCTCTATGAACTTCAGAAAAAACTTCTCTAAGCGAAGGCAGCAGTTTGACTCCAAGAATACGCCCTCTTACTTCATCAAGATCCTTATTAAGTCCTTGAAGAAAATCAAAAACTCTGTCTTTTTCAAGCATTTGGCTATATGTGTTTCCATCATCACTGCACTTCTAAGGAATAGAATAGAATAAGTTCATATTATGCCATAAATCAACTAACCGGTTGTAATACTCAGTAACCATCATTGTTCCTTGGCGAGTGGATCTTAGGATTGAACGAATCTCGAAACACTGAGATGTGTTTTCAAGATCTGAGTACATATCTTGGACACCTTTCCAGTTTCGTGAGCGCTGTTGTAGAATAAAAATGTTCTGCCGATTCGTGCCTCCATGGAGTTGATAAGTAATGCCATGATAATGGAGTTTTCTGCTTCCCATTGTTGATAAGTTTCACCAGTAAGATAGCCTACTTTCCCTTTCCCTCGGATGACCAGCAAAACAGATTGATACCATTCTCAGAAATTCAACCCATTAAGTTTGTGTTGGGTGATTTGCAAAGTATGTCCGAGGTCAGGAGTAGAGAGGAGAGTGGATTTTGCTGTAGATGAAGCATAATCGCTTGTGACATCGGATTGGTTTCCTCCGGCCATAAGTAGTTTAAGTTAGAGAGAAAAAAAACTTAGGAAATAAACGAGAGATGTTTGATCAGGTCTAGGATGGACCTGCTCTGATACCATGAAACAAAAGATGAAAATTTTTCAGTCATTTTCTTATTCACATCACAACTGTTTATATACAGGGAAGAATTAGCCTAAACTAGGAAAGAGATAATCTACTCTAATTACAGAATTAAGGTCTAAAAATACATCTAATATGAAGGCAATTAGAGAGCTAATTTAGGCCAATATACCATTGTTAAATATAGCAGTCAACAGCTGTATAAGGTACAACTGTAATATTTCCAACAGAGATCAGATCAGGTTAGTCTGTCTAGAGCCTTTCTTCTCACTCAGCTATACAAGCCATTAAAAGTCTTGTTCTTATTTATTGAATCATCATTTTATTCTTTTTACATTAGTAGTCAACACGTCATTCTTTTCTACCAAATACATTCTGGGATGTTCATATTCTGCAAGGACAATGCTATGACTAAACATATTTAACAATGATATGACTAAACATCTTTTATGGTTGCATGTTTCTGAAATATCCCTTCATTTTTATATAAGAATTATCGGTGTACTTATGGTGTTCGCTATTTTATATTGTTTTGTGTGTGAAAAGAAAAAAATTATTTGTTTAACATAGTACCAATGCTAGGGAAGTCTAAGGGGGTGTTTGGATAGGAAAAAAAAGAGGTGTTTATTGCTTATTCCCACAATAAGTCAATTTGAGTGTTTGGATAAAATCCAGCTTATTAAGCTAAATAAGCTAATTTTAATAAGCATCCCTCTCCATGCTTATTGCTTATTGCTTATTCCCACCACAAATAAACGATAAGCAATAAGCTAAAAAGCTAATCCAAACACCCCTAAAAGTGTGGTCGTCTATTCTTTAATTTTGTAACTAATCCCAAACATTTTAGTCTAGACTGATTAATAAAAATAATTCATTCAATTATTTTTCAAAAAATATACATTGCAATTTGCAAGTTTGTTACCGTCTTGTTTTAGAATCACTACTAGGGTAGCACTTTTTACAAAATAAATAAATAAATAAATAATTATTTTTAACAATGTAGGAGACCATGGATCAAAGTTGAAATGTACCAACTTGGCTTGTTTCTAACAAGTTTACGATTTAATTAATTGAAGTGAGATAAGTTCATGTCATAGTCATTAAATTCTTGGACCAAATCATATATATTTGATTTCATGGGTTTGTATTTAGGGACTCATTTCATATAACTAGTGGATCGAAACTATCTCAAGATGGGAAGACTTGTAAGTCTTTAAATGTCTAAATTGGGGCAATCCGTTTCAATTCATCTTTTAATTTGTCTTTACTTTTTCATAGAAATTACGTATCACAATTGAGGTTGTTGATTTGAATAGGCCACCTGTTTGAGGTTGTTGGATTTGAATCTTTTGTCTTCACAATTGAGACTATATAAACCCCCATGAGGGCCGTTTGAATATGAATCACTACCAAAAAAATATCACCAAGATTTGCATTAACATAATGAATCCTTGTGTTTTTATCATTTTCTCACTTCTCTTGCTATGCCTTGAGACTATAACTTCCAACCAATTGGTAGCAGCGGGAGGAGGAGATGATAATGATGTTAGGAACAAGTGTTCTGATAAGGAGAGACGTGCTCTTCTTGATTTCAAAGCTCGCCTCCAAGACCCGGATGAAACTCCCTCTACATGGAGATCTGAAGAAGAAGAAGATTGTTGTAACTGGAGTGGAGTCACGTGCAACAACCAAACTGGTCGTGTCATTGAGCTAAATATTAGTTCTGGTGGCCTTGAAGGTGAGATAAGCAATTCTTTGCTTAACTTAAGCTACCTGACTCATCTTGATCTCTTCTCTAATTCTTTTCATGGAATTATTCCCACGTTCATTGGTTCCATGACTCGTTTAAGGTACCTTCACCTTGGTTGGAATCATTTGAATGGAACCATTCCCAGGTCCATTGGTTCCTTGAGAAAATTAAGGCACCTTGACCTTTCGGATAACTCTCATTGTGGTATCATCCCTCTAGAGTTTGGAAACCTCACAAACTTGCAAGTGCTTAATCTTGGATCCCTTGGAAAGTCTAGAGTTTGGAACCTAGAGTGGTTATCTCATCTTTCTCATTTAGAGGCACTTGAAATGGATGGGATTTCTCTAGCCAAACAAAATTATTGGATAGATGTGATTTTGCGTCTCCGGAAACTAATCTCTTTAAGTTTAGATAGATGTGAGGTCTCACAGGTTGTGTATCCATATTCTTCATTTCTCATCTCTTCTTCTTCATCTATTGAATCCCTTATTCTCAGCAACAACAATCTGACCACATCCATGTATCGTTGGTTGTTCCGATTAACAAGCAATAAGCTCCGCATTCTTGATCTCTCTGGGAACATATTAGATGGGATACCCAAATATCTAGGTAACCTTGTAATTTGGAACGTTTGTATTTCTATAACAACTTTGCTGTTGTCAAATTTCCTGATTTTCTCAACAACTTGTCTGGATGCACATCACTTACATTACAAGGGTTGCTTGTTGGACATAACCGATTGATAGGGACACTCTCTAATGAGACCTTAAGATTTAAAAATCTTTCCATTCTTGGTATGAAATTTTGCAATCTAGGGCCTCACTTCCCCAGATGGATTCAAACTCTGAAAAATCTTTCATAACTTGATATTTCCAATAATAGAATTTCAGACATAATTCCTCTAGGGTTTTGGGACATGTGGCCTTCTCAATTAACGTATCTGAATCTCTCTTCCAACAACATCAGCGGCAAAGCACCAGATTTATCATCAAAGTGTGGCTACATTTCAATGATAGATTTGAGTTCCAACATATTTTATGGCCCAATAACAAATGTCTCTTCCACTCTGACATCACTGCATCTTTCTAGAAACAAATTCTATGGTGGAATCTCCTTCTTATGCCAAATTGACCAGGGGTTTTTAGTTGTTCTTGACCTCTCCCATAATTTTCTAAGTGGTCAAATTCCAGACTGTTTGTGGCATTTCAAAGAACTAAAAATTCTTAATCTAGAGCACAACAATCTATCTGGAAGGCTTCCTACCTCTGTTGGATCTTTGATTAAACTCGAGTCATTGGATCTATACAAGAACAATTTCTCTGGAGAATTGCCTCTGTCTTTAAACAGTTGCACGAGCTTAAACTCATTAAATTTGGGGGCCAACAAGTTTTCTGGTAACGTGCCTCTTTGGATTGGGGAGAACTTACTGAAGTTGTATGTTCTTATCCTAAGATCAAACAACTTCTTCGGGACCATCTCTTTACAATTATGTCAACTTGAAGGTATTCGAATTCTAGATTTGTCAGTGAACAAGCTCCATGGAACAATCCCCTCGTGTTTGGATAATCTTACAAGCATGGTTCAAGAAGGATTTCTACCTACACATAATGTGCAATTCTATACACTTAAATTGTTTTATTCTGGAGGTTATCACTATGGTGAACGTGATGATAAGTATTTTGACCATGCAATGATTGAGTGGAAAGGATACGAACGTGAACTCATCAGATTGTTGAAGAACATTGACTTGTCAAGCAACAACTTAACAGGGCCAATTCCATATGAAGTTACCAAGCTCTATGGACTTCATGCACTCAACTTGTCAAAGAATAGTCTACTTGGAGAGATTCCTGAAACAATTGGTCAAATGAAACAACTTGAAACTTTGGATTTATCTAGAAACAACTTGTCTGGAGAGATGCCATCAAGCATGTCTAGTATGAATTTTTTGAATCATCTAGACGTATTATATAATAGCTTGTCAGGGAGAATTCCATCTAGCACTTAACTGCTGTCTATTGAAGTTTCAAGATACTATGGAAACCCGAGACTATGTGGACCTCCCCTTACCAAAAACTATCAAGGAGATGATGAATCAGAAGTACGACATGTCATTGGTGAGAGTGAGGATCGTGGGGAAGATATGGATGAACTTTGGGGGTGGTTCTATATTGGTGGGGGCACTGGTTTTGTTACTGGATTTTGGATTGCATGTGGTGCTCTACTTCTCAATCATCGTGGGAGACATGCTTTTTTTTCATTTTTATGATAGCTTCAAAGTTTTGGTTTATGTGAAGGTGATGGTGTTCTTTGCAAATTTGCAAAGGGTTGAACATAGTTTGTCTTGTAATTAAATCATGCTTCACTTGTATTTCACAGGAGTTTTTATGTCCTCAATATCAATAAAACCGCCACCAACACCATGGGTGGCCGTTCTCCAGCTGTGTACTCAACTAAGGCAACCTGAAAACTTTATATTTTAAATCTAGTTAATTAATGTTGTATTTGTTTTTAATAAACAATTTTATAGGAGAATTGTCAATGTAGGTTATCCGTGGAATTGATGTTAAAAGATGGTCCATCCATATACACTTGTTACTTACATGCTTTAGCTTGTGGGGTGTTTACAAAAATTGGTTAAACTGAACTAATAGATCTATACACAAAGAACATGAACTCTAAATTTAGGAATTTCAGTTTAGATTTTCTATGAAAGTAGGTTTTCTTTATATGCTAGAATAATTGACTTTTTGATTGCATTTAATTGGCATACATTAGATTTAATACGGAACTCCTTTCATTAGAGTATATTTCATACAGATTCGGTAGTTAAGATGTCTTTCTATGTATTTTCTCAGATTACAATTTATATTATAAGGTAAGAATGTTTATTAAAAAGAAATATCCAAATTCCAAGCAACAATTACATATCTTATTAGATAACCATCAATTTAGTCATAATACAGCTAAAAAAAGCTTAATTTATGTGAAAGGTGAATTTTTTTTTTTTTTTTTTTTTTTTTTCATTTTTTTTCATTTTTGTATGATATAAATTTTTAGTTTACACAATTATCACACAAACAATAATCATAAAATGTTTAGTTTTACAATTAAATCCACCGTAACCAATGTTTTGAAAATCGGACCAGCTGTCTCACCAGTTCGATGATTCAAACGGTCGGACTGATCCAAAAAATCGGATGACATCATTGTCATTTATAATTAAATATAAAGTTACAAAAAAATACAAAACATAAAAGTAACCTCGTAGCAACCAGTGGATTAGAGACCCAAAAAAAAAACCTTCACATATTGTTTTATAAGAAAAGTCCTATTTTCATAATATTTTAATATAATTAATTAAAGTAAACTAAATAATGTGATGATAATATAATTAACAAAAACCATGTGAAGAGACGTAGCATGTTGGTGGATGGTTTTAAGTTACGCATCAACTCAATAAAGAAAGAAGTGCGTAAAAACCATGAGACAGGACCAAAAAAAAGATCGAACTTTGTCGGTGTGTCTGCTAATGAAAAACGACTTCTTTGCCTCAAAATAAAAATCAATCAAAATGGTGTGGTTAAACCCATACAAAAAAAAAAACAGCAAACAAAAAACTACCAATGGTATGAATTATACAGTAACATACATACAAAAAAATCAGTACTTCAAGAAAAGTTGTATACATATAAACCAGCAAATCCAAAGTAAATCCAAGATAATGAAGCAATCTTGAACCAATCCTCAATATTAAATAACATTAAAGCAATAAGAGAAAAAAAATTACTAAATTGTCTTCTTAGAAATTAATTGGTTTGAATTGATAAAAATATATTTAGAAATTGGTTGTATACTTACTTAACAAAATCATTGCCGATAATCATTTTAAAGAGTTTTTAACTTTTTTTTTTTAAAAAAATTATTATTTTTTTTATTTTTATATATGGGCCAGTACAATTACATGGTTTTTCTTTGAAGGTGCTGGTAGTTTTTTCATAGCTTCATTGCATGTTCCCATATATTTTTTTTGTTATGTAATTATAATCATTAGGTAAGTACGGGTTGCATTCATTTTCCTAGCAAAACAGGTTACACTATTTGTGGGCCACTTCGTCTTATTGTTTTTTGCTTCGATGAATGATGAATTCAGCTACAAAGGTGAACTTATGAAGGTGAAATAGAAGCAACATCAGGCAAAAGAGAAATCAGCACTAAAAAAATCCCCAATTCAAGCTTACTATTGATCATAGCTCATATCTTCTTCAAGATCTGGTACCATCTTTCTCATTGTACATAAATTTAGAGGCCGCTTTCCAAAATCCATCAAGAATAACCCGTGTTCATTGGTTAATTGATGCCATCTGAGACTCTTAGTTTGATTTACTTTCTACATTCCATAGTAAATCATGAAGATCAATGAACAAAAAGAATCACCAAGTCAAGATAGTCATCAAGGATCAATTCTTGATCCAATCAAGAACACCCACTCTGATACCAATTGATGAATCAATGAACTGAGTATGAAATTAATCAAACTTGATATTGAAGAATGAATGAGTAACTGAATGCAAGATGTAAATAAGATTTCGCTTCAGCTCTATTAAGCTTTAAGTGTTTACAGAGAAAAATAGACAATGCTATTCACGTTATCTAACTCTAGTAAATGATCATATTTATAGGATACACAAAGCGTACAAAAAATATACTAAGACATTAACACTTAAGCTTCGAACAAAAGAGCCCTAGTAAAATACATTACAAATCATACGAAGAGTACAAAATAAGCTTTGACTAATTACAACAAAACAACCCTTACATAATCATTCAACATTAAGAGATTGGAAACTTTAATTGGGGTTTAGAAAACCCTAATATCAAGAGAACCCTAATTTTAGAGTGGTCGGGACCTGTGTTAAAACTATTAATTAAACCTAAAATAATACTTAATAATTCTCCACAATTAACTCGACGCAATACTGGACTTAATGGATTAAGTCATTAATGAGTTAATTTAGAAACAATAACCCTAGTTATCCTTTTATGTGAAAACCCTAGAATCGAGGAACTCTATTTTGGGCAATAATCGGAGTATCGGACGCGTAATTGGGTTGTTGACCAAATTATTATTTCAACCGAGAGTGACTAAGTCCTAATCGTCCTTTTAAATTAAGCCCTAATCGTCATTTCATGTGAGGTGGTCATTGTTGCAAGTGACTATAACTAGTGATCGGGTATTGACTCAAGTGTTATCCCTTAGGTATTTGGAAGTGAGTTGAAGCTTGTAGAGCCCTTCATTGCTACAGTGGTTATCTATGCACATATCGAGGTTAGTATTCCTTACTGTGCTCAAGGGTCTAAGGCACCAAGGATAACCCTTTTGGATTGTTATCCTGGTTCATCCTATGATTGAATATTGTTATGATCTATTAGATCCGTGTTCTGGTATCGAGTATGTTGCTATGTTGTAGTGATCAGTTAGATTTGTCTCTTTGTATTGTGTATGTTGCTTTGTGGTAATAAACTCTAGAACTGTATGTTATTTGTGCTTGTTGGTTATCATCTATAGAGTGTCCTTAGGGACTGTCGATGTCATGTAGGATAGCCTGAGAAATCTTGGTCTAGGATATCTTGCTTGTTCCTCGTTCGGTTGTGGCTCTAGAGTAGGACTATCTGTTCGGGTGGCTAGCTCACCTCCGGTTACTTATGGTTAAACATTCTATGGGGGTTAGCTGGTAGTGGGACTGTACGTTGTGAGAAGATTAGTAGGTAGTAGTGAGCTGTATGATTGTTGTTTGCCTGTATTATGTGCCTAATTGATCCTGATTGTTTATATGTCGACATATTGTGTTTGAATGGGTTGAGGCGGTCTTACTTCGTGTTGTAGCCAAAAAACCCTGGAGTATGACAGATATGAGATGAGGGCCAGGGAGGGCATGCCAGACTCATACTGAGGACTCATTAGAATTTCAAATGTGAGCTGAGGGCCGGGTAGGGAAAACCAGATTCATAATGAGGGCTTAGTGGTATCTAATTATATGTGCATAATATTATCTCCTATATGTCGACATATTATGTGGGTTGGGTAGTGGTTGTACTGCTCCGTGATGTAGCCAATAAACCCTGGAGCATACCAGATATGAGCTTAGGGCTAGGGAGGGCATGCCAAACTCACACTGAGGGCTAATCATTGGTATTTCAGTCCAAGGACTGAGGGAGCAAACCACACATAAGTTGTGAGCCAAGGAGAAAACCATACTTATGTTGTGGGCTCGGGACCAAGCCAGATATGAGTTGTGGGCCGAATTCGCAAGCCATTATACTGTGGGCTCAAGGAGTAATCCGATATTTTAGTTGTGGATCCAATACATGTTGTTATTTGTATATGTTATCTGTTGTGTGGTGGTACTTTGGGGGGAAACTCACTAGGTTTTGTGCTTACAGTTTTAGTTTATTGTTTCAGGTATTTCTGATTATTTTGGCAAGGCGAAGGCGTGACCGTACACATCCTTGGTTTTACAACAGATTAGATCTTGGGAAACACCGATTTTCAAATAATGTTTGAGAACACTATTTTTATAAACATTTTGTTAGTAAAAGGACCGTTTTGAAAAGTTTAAATTCGTTGAAATTTTTGGGATGTTATATGATTTGACTTATTTTCCTAAAATTTAGTTAATTTAATTTCTCTATTAATAAAATGATATATTTACCCTTATAATTAATAAAGTGTAAATGTATAGTAAATGCAAGTCCATGTTCACAACATGTACCGTACATTCACACCTTTTAATTCTTCTTAAATGACACGTTCAAACACAATTTATGATTCCATTTTGATCCTAGCCATATATATATATATATATATATATATATATATATATATATATATATATATATATATATATATATATATATATACACACACAAGCAGTTTCATGCGAAAACATAAATATTTTGGGAAAAATGCAAAAACATATTTTATCTAATAAAAATCAAACACATGTACTATAAATTATAATTTATTAGCAATAAATTAAAGATAATAAGTTTATATTGGATGATGTTGTGGTAATATAGATTTAAAGAAAGTTTTAACGATTGTTTTTTTTTAACGTCGTTAAACACTTTTAAATTCAAGTTTTCATAATAAAAATTTCAAAAATCATGTTTTGCTAATATGAAACAACTTCTCATCTATCATCCATTATCTTCATGTAGTTCAAAGTTTGGATGAATTATTGTCCAAAATATAAGATTGATGTGACACAATCTCATAGGTTTTTCTTGTTTTCGTGTTTTCGTAAATTATTTGCATTTTCGCATGAACTATATATATATATATATATATATATATATATATATATATATATATATATAGGTTGAAACCTTCAGGGAGTCGTGATATCAGGTGACACAAAAAAAATCCTCCAAATCGAACAAATGACTCCAATAACCTAAAAATATATATAAAAAAAATGCAGATTATGATTTAAACATTAGAGTTTGCTTTATGTATATAATAAAATTTGGAACTTTTGAGACGTATTATTCGAAGTATCACCCGGATTTTGGTAATGTTTAAGCCATGACAAGTTTGATAAAATTAATAGGAACAACATAGAGGTTCCTCTCTTAGTCAACGGCAGAAAAATTCTTGAAATTATGCATACAAGTCTCATGGCTTTCTGTAGATCCAATCAACCTGGCACCATGAACCGCCAGCAAACGACCCAATTTCTTTACCTGGTGTCCGATGAATTAATGCCTATTAAAGCCTTCAAATCTCTATATTCAACCACAACAATTTCCTTACCTTAAACCCTAAACTCTAAACCCTAAACCACAATACCAGGACCTATCTATGCTCTGCTTCACAACATTACACACCTCCCCTAACCTTTATTCCAACAAGGTTGCCCCTGAATTTCCATTACTAATATTAAGAATCTCATCTTTAATGGAAATAACAATTACAACTGATAATTCTAGTGGGCAAAACGAAAAGGCATCGATTTTGGGTTTCTGTAACACATCTAAGGAAATCTCAGTTGCATCAATGACGGATGGACCAACAAGTAGTGGGTTATTCCAGGTTTTTCCATGGTTTCTAACGAGAAGTTCATTGATTCTTCTACAAATTTCATTTTTTTCTTTCTAAAAACCCATTAAAAGGAAAACTGAAATTATTGATTAAATTACATAGGAAAATCGATTGGCCCCTAAAACGAAGGATTTGATGATCTGGCCAGACCTCGAAGGAGGGAGAAGTGGCAGATCTCGAAGGTGGGAGAAGTGGTGATGGGGTCAGTGGCAACAGATCGGCGGTAACGATGGTGGTAGAAAACTACTTGTGTCTCTGTTTTCTTTTTTAAATTTTTTATTTTTTATTTTTTATTTTTTTTCCATTCTAATTTCATACCTGCAACTTAAGAAAAAATGTGGTTGGGGACGAAAATGGGAGTGTTTTATCTTTTATCTTCTTTTTTTTTTTTTTTTTTTTGAGAGAGAGAAAGAGAGAGGCCTTTAACTTTATTTAACATATATAAATATAAATACTTATAGAAAAAAAAAATGGAAAATAAATATTATAAAGGTAATTTAGTCATTTTAATTTTTAAGGTACCAAAACCGCATACAAACATGTTCGAAATGACCACCAATAAAAATTTTCATGATTTGATTCATTTTCCAAAAAAAAAATACATATCATATAAACTATTTTTGCATTTTTGTCTTTGAATGTAAACAAATATTTATAGATTTTGAGACAATAAAGCACTGAAAAAACAAAATGGTTCATGATATATTGGGCCTTCTATTTTTTTCTTTAGCAAACATCGGGCCAAGGCCTTATAGCAAACTTACTGAATTACCGTCGATCACCCGGTTATCGTTTGTTGCTTTGGGTCTGAAGATGAAGACTACACAGAAAAATGATAATTTCAGCAGGCAAAAGAGAAACCAGCAATAAAAAGCCCCCATTCAAACAGACTATTGACGATATTAAACCTCGTCTCCGGTATCCTCTAACCGCTTTATCAAACTTTAAAATTTTCTTGTAAACTTACTCCGTTTTCCGATTTTCATGAAGTTTAACCTGTGTAGATTGGTTAATTGATGTTATGTGAGACTCTTAGTTTGATCTTTCTTCATATTTTTATTCTCCATAGTACGCTTTCTTGTAGATCTAATCGTTTCCCATAATATTCAGTTAGCTATAAATGAATGAATCTAAACTAGTTTTTTTTCTTCATGTTTCTCTTATATTTGAAGATCAGATCCAATAATCAAGAACGATGATTCTTACGATATAAAATTATTTGTGCTGTCTCAGTCTTCTATAGCATTTCTTACGGTATAAAAAAAGAAAGAAGTCTCATCCGCCCTTTAGTGGTTTGGGGCCACCATTGTCAATTAGGGTTGTCCTTTTTATCTTATTGACTCAGCATTGAATTCTTTTTACATTATTGAGTCAATCAGTGCATTATTTTCTACATCGTACCTTCTTCACTTCCCATGAGATTTCCGTATTCTAAAATGATAATATTGTAATCAAATCTTTTTTTTTTGTTGCAATTTTACGAACTATCTAAATGTGAAACTAAAAAAAACAGTTACAGATATTGTTAACAATAAATGTCAAAAGTAAGTAATTGTTGAGTTGTGAGAGTTTTATTGGCTCTCGAGTTGGGGTGTGAATGTGAGATGGTTGTTGGAGGAACGTGGAGGGATGGAGAGACCTGAATGTAAGACAACCTTATCGTATGTGAATCTTGTGATTTTTATTTTTCCCCATCAGTTAAACGTGTGTGTGTTTGTTTGTCAATCATAATCATAAACATTAATCTACATAAACTATAATTAACTATACAAAAAATTAGTTTCAAAAAATAAATTTAGTAGGTTTAGATGAAATATTTTCTTCTCAAATTGTATTTTTCACTATACATGGTTATTTTGATGTGTTTGATTTTGTTAAAATGAAAATGACTTAAAAGGGATGAAAATTGGTGATGGTTGCGAAGTGCTAAATCAGTAAAAAAAATATGAAAAAAAGAAATTGTATTTTTCACTATACATGGTTATTTTGATGTGTTTGATTTTGTTAAAATGAAAATGACTTAAAAGGGATGAAAATTGGTGATGGTTGCGAAGTGCTAAATCAGTAAAAAAATATGAAAAAAAGAAATTGTATTTTTCACTATATATGGTTATTTTTCACTATAGCTCCTGACACATTATATAGTTATTACATTCTTAAACCCAAATCTTCATATCGGTATTTCATGGATGGTTACTCTATTTGATTCCATCATTTTGTGTTTTTTAGAATTATATCACATAATTTGATGACCAAAAAATATTACAATATTGGAAAAGATATTAATATTAAATACAAATTGCCATGACTTGCAAGTCTTCAAAAGGTCTACTTTGGGTCAATTTAAATTTCATGGAAAGTAAGTGTTGTATGCCCCATGCAAATAGGCCACCAATTTGAGTCCATCCACTTTAATAATTCATCTTCACGGTTGGCATTGGCTATATATATATATAACCTTCATAGGGGCATATTTGTATATGTATACATCAACACAAGCAAATTCACCAACATACATCTGCATTTACATCATGCATCGTTGTGTTTTTATAATTTTCTCATTTCTCTTGCTATTCGTTCAGAATACAACTACCAAGCAACTGGTAGCAATGGAAGGAGGAGGAGGAGATGATAATGGTGTTGTCACAAACAAGTGTTTGGATAAGGAGAGACATGCTCTCCTTCAATTCAAAGCAAACCTTCATGACCCTTATGGTAGTCTCTCTACATGGAGACCTGAAGATGATGAATGTTGTGAATGGAGAGGAGTCATGTGTGACGATGAAACAGGCCATCATGTCACAGGGCTTGAGATTAGATCTTTTGGTCTTGTAGGTGAGATTAGCCCTTCATTGGTTAACTTAACCTACTTGAATCGTCTTGATCTTTTCGGAAATTTCTTTAATGGAACCATTCCCAGGTCCTTTGGTTCCTTGACCGAATTAATGTTCCTTGACCTTTCAAATAACTCTTTTTATGGAACCATTCCTCAAGAGTTCGGAAACCTCACCAACTTGCAAGAGCTTTCCCTTGGATACGTTGGAAGATGTAGTGTTGAAAACATAGAGTGGTTGTCCCATCTTTCTCATTTGGAGATACTTGAAATGGATGGGATTTCCCTTGCCAAAGCAAACCAGTGGGTAAATGTGATTTTGAATCTCCCAAAACTATCAGATTTAAGTTTAGATGGATGTGAGCTGTCACAGGTCATGTATCCATATTCTTCTTCATTTCTCAACTCTTCTTATTCCTCATCTATTGAAGTCCTTTATCTTGGAAACAACAGTCTCACCTCATCCATGTATCGTTGGTTGTTCCCATTAACCACCAATAAGCTTCAAATCCTTGATCTCTCTAGCAACATGTTAGATGGGATACCCAAATATCTTGGTAACCTCTGTAGTTTGGAATATTTTGCATTTGATAACAACTCTGCTGTTGTCAATTTTCCTGATTTTCTCAGCAAATTGTCTGGATGCACATCCCTTACACTACAAGAGTTGTATGCTCGAAGAAACCAATTTAAAGGGTCACTGCCTGATTTCATCCAAAACTTTTCATCCCTATCATTTCTGGGCCTATCAGATAATCACATGAATGGAACCATAAGCGAGAAACTGTGGGAACTACCCAAACTTAAAAAGATCGACGTTTCTCAAAATTATCTTAGTGGTGCCATCTCTGAAAACATTGGAAAGTCGAAGGCTCGTATTATAAACCTTTCGAAAAACCCACTCCAAGGAGTTCCTTCCGCAGATCATATGTCAAACCTTTCTTCTGTAGAGCAGCTTGATCTGAGCTCTTGCAACCTAGGGCCCCACTTCCCCAAATGGATTCAAAAACTGGAAAATCTTACCCTTCTTGATATTTCCAGCACTAGAATTTCAGATGCAGTTCCTCCACAATTTTGGAACATGCAATTCAGCTATTTGAATCTCTCTTCCAACAACATCAGTGGGGAAGTACTGAATCTATCAAGTTTTGCCAAAAGTAAATTGATAGATTTGAGCTCCAACAGCTTTACGGGTCCAATACCGGATCTTCCTTCCAGTTTGGCATTGTTAAATCTTTCCAGAAACAAATTCTCTGGAGGAATCTCCTTCATTTGCCAAATTGTCGATGGGTTTTTACAATTTCTTGACCTCTCCCATAACTCTCTAACCGGACAAATTCCAGATTGTTTGTGGCAGTTCAATGAACTAAAAGTTCTCAATCTAGGACACAACAGTCTGTTTGGAAAGCTTCCTCCCTCTATTGGGTCTTTGGTACAACTGGAGGTGTTGTATTTGTACCAGAACAACTTCTCTGGAGAATTGTCTTTGTCTTTAAAGAATTGCACGAGTTTGAGTTTTTTGAATTTGGGGGCCAACAAGTTTTCTGGTAATGTGCCTTTTTGGATTGGGGAAAACTTTTCAAGGCTGTATGGTCTTATCCTAAGATCAAACAACCTCGTCGGAACCATCCCTTTACAGGTATGTCAATTACCGTATCTTCAAATTTTAGACTTTTCAAGGAACAATCTTCATGGAAGCATCCCCTCATGTTTGAATAATCTTACGAGAATGGCTCAAGAAGGATTTTTACCACCACCAAACGTGCATTCCTATACAGCACCTTCACCTTATTCATTTTATATTAATTCATTTCGCATTGATGTGAAGTATGTTGACTATGCGATGATCGAGTGGCAAGGAGATGAGCGTGAATTCACCAGTAATCTGGGATTGTTGAAGAGCATTGACCTGTCAAGCAACAATATAACAGGACATATCCCATATGAACTCACCAATCTTCATGAACTGCTTGCCCTGAACTTGTCAAAAAACGCTCTACATGGAGAGATTCCACAGCAAGTTGGTCAGATGAAAAACCTTTTGGCTTTGGATTTATCTAGAAACAGTTTATCAGGAGGGATACCATCAACCATTTCTCAGATGACCTTATTGAGTTACCTAGACGTGTCGTGTAATAAATTGTCAGGGAGAATCCCATCAAGCACTCAACTCCAGTCCTTTGAACCTTCAAGATATGATGGAAATGCAGGACTCTGTGGACCTCCCCTTTCCAGAAAATGTCCAGGAGATGAAGGATCACAAGTACCATCAATCGTTGATAAAAGCGAGGGTGATGAGGAAGACATAGATGAACTTGAGAGATGGTTCTATATTGGTGGGGGCACTGGTTTTGTTACTGGGTTTTGTATGGCATGTGGCACTCTACTTCTCAACCGTCGTGGTAGGCATAAGTTTTTTTACTATTTTGATGGGTTCAAAGATTGGGTTTATATAAAGGTGGTGGTGTTCATCGCAAATTTGCAAAGGGTTAGACATACATAGTTTTTCTTTTTAACTTATTTTCTAGTATGTATCTTATCTTGAACAGACCGTTACTGTTCTTTTTAAGGCTAGGGTTATCGTATTGTAATTTGGCAGGGGTTTTTAAGTTCCCAATATCAATAAAAATGCCACTAACACCATGGGTGTCCACTTTATTGCATAGGGTGAAATAAGACATGCTGAGAGTTCATACTTTTGTAGCAAATAAACAAAAGATGAAAATGAAGTTAATGTTGTATATTTTATTAATCAATCTGGAAATTTTCCACCCTCTTTACAATTCTTAGATTCCTTTAGTGTAAGGCTTTTTATAATCAAAATCTTTATTTGTCGCAACATCAAAGCGATGGATTGAACTCATTTACACTCCTATAGCAACTGCAACACGCATGTTTAGCATTATTTCTTGAACTACAATTCAGATTACCGAGTAATATATATAATAATGACATTTGATTTGAAAACTCTACCACTATGGGTCATCCATTCACAAAGTTTTATTTTATTTTATTTTATTTTTTTTTATGTGTGTGTTGTGCAATCTAGACTTTGTCTTCCATTCACAAAAGAAGTTGGGTCCATTTGCTTGGCCCATTAACAAAAAAGTATTTTTAAAATTTTGTTTTTTTTTTATTTTTTTTATTTTTTATTATTTTTTTTTATCATTCTAATTACATTATAGTTTTATTGTTTTTTTGGAAAGGGAACATCCCTAACGAGGGTTTGCAGGCCAGCTTTCGTGCACCGATTAACCCCCCGCTGCAAACATGATGTTTTGTCTTATACCCTGGAGTCACTGCAGCCGAACTTCCATGGCTATAAGGGTTGAGTTGTGTAAGGATTTGAACATGGGTCAATAGGTTATCCACCATATCTTCAACATTCTTCTTTCCAAGGCTCCAAGCTACCAAAAATGATCTTCAAAAGGTTAAGAACACATAAGGATGATAAGGGTTAGTTCTTAGAGTTTCTGAGCTTAGGAGGCTGATAAGGAGGCTGGGGCATGGGACATAATGAAATATTTATATGGCTTGAACCCTAAAAATTAGGGTTTCTCAAATAGCGTCCAACTCGCCGAGTTGAGGCTCGTCGACTTGGCCCATTAAATCTCCACAATTCTTCCATCTTCAACATGTCGAGTTGGCTCCTCCAACTCGCCGAGTTCAACTTGAATTTGGCTAAATTTCAACAATTAACCATCTAGATTCCGGGTGTTATATAACTTTAACACTTAAGTTAGGTCTATCAATGGAGGCATAAAGGTACAAACTTTATAGCTTCTGCAGATTAATGAGGGAGGGGAACTTCCAGATCCAAAGTTCCTTCAAGCTTCCATGCACTATCACCACCTTTTTCTCCTTTCAAAGTTGCCAAGAAACACAATCTTTAGCTCACAAAATTTATACTAGGGTTAGGTTTTCAAGAGAAGATGTTGGAGAGATTGAGGATAAGGATGGAAAAGGTCTAAAGGAGTTAAGGAGCTTAAATTGGGCTCAAAACCATAGATTTAGGGTTTGGGTTCTAATCGCGTACACCCAACGTACCAAATTGTACGCCTAGCACACGCTTCTAAGGGCATGACTTGACCATGCTGGTACGCCTAGCGTACCTAAGGTACGCCCAACATACCACCTTCTTTCCCAACGTCAACATACTTCCAAACCACCATAACTTCTTTGATTCAAATATGATTTTAGCGTTCTTTATATGCACGGAAAGGTATTGAAAATCCCCACAATCTAAGATAATTGATTTGGAGTAAAAACTTCTCAAAATAAAATCCATATTTCATGCAAGAAGCCCGACCTTATAACTTTTCCCTTTCTACCCTTCGGCCCAATACATAGTTCAAGGGTCAGATCTCTTAACCATTATTACCTCCATCCACAAGGACTAAACTTTACCTCCTTAAGGGCCAAAGCCTTTACAAAATCGAATTTCAGCCTACGACCCTGAAATAAGAAATGACACGAAATAGGATGTTACATAAGGGTTCATCATTTTCAATCCCACCTCCTTTAGAACATCTCTAATGAAATCATGGCCTCCATTAAAGTGTTTGGAGCTCATCCATCCATTTCAAGTACCTCTAAAGGAGAAATATGAGATAACCACTCTAGGTTCCTAAATCTATAATTTCCATGGGATCCAATATTAAGCACTTGCAAGTTTGTGCGGTTTCCAAACTCTAGATGGATGATTCAATAACAAGAGCTATATGAAAGGTTAATGTGCCTTAATTTTGTCGAGGAACCAATGGGCTTGGGAATAGTTCCATTCAGATTATTCAAACCAAGGTGAAGGTACCTTAAACGAATCATGGAACCAATGAAGGTTGGACTGGTTCAATGAAAAGAATTGTAAGAAAGATCAAGATCATTCAAACTTCTAAAATTAAGTAATGAACTACTAATCTCAGCTTCAAGACCATGTTCAGAAACATCAAGCTTCGTGACATGATTTGTTTGGTTATTGCATGTGACTCCTCTCCATTTACAATAATCTTCTTCTTCATCTCTCAATATATAGAGAGAGTTTCATAGGGATCATGAAGGCAACCTTGAAATCAAGGAGAGCGCGTCTATCCTTATTGGAATACTTGTTTATAACACCATTATCATCTCCTCCTCCCAAATTGGTTGGAAGTTGTAGTCTCAAGGTTTAGTAAGAGAAGTGGGAAAATTATAAAAACATAAGGATTCATTATGTATTTATGCTAATAAAATCTTAGTGTTTTTTTTTTCAGTAGTGATGCATATTCAGAATGAACAAATTCAACAACCTCAACTTAGGGTACCTCATCTGTGGTACCAAAAGTTTCATCAATTCATTATCTCATTTAGTTTTAAGGTAAATGAAGTAGATGATTATGTCTATCATAAATTTAGTGGGAGTAAATGTATCTTTCTTGGTTTTGTATGTTGATGACATATTACTTGCTATCAATATATTAAAGTATTTTTAGTGAAGGGTCTTAGGGAAGCATGTTTTGTTTTAGGAATGCATATTTAATGAGACAAATATTGTGGAATTCAAGGATTATCACATAAGAGGTATAATATTGATAAGATCCTTGAAAGATTTTTCATGCAAACTACAAACCAGGTGACACCCTTATTGCTAAAAGAGATAGATTTAGTCTTAATTAGTGACCTAAATTTCACCTTGAAGTTAGAGAGATGTAGAAGATTCCTTGTGTTTACTATGTTGGGAATCCGATGTATGCTCAAGTATGTATATATCCCTACATTATACGGATGTTGGGAAGATATCTAAGCAACCTAGTAATTGATCTAGATCGTTGAGAAGCATCCAAATGTGTTTTGAAATATCTATACATAAGAAAAGACTATATGCTTAACTATAAGAAATCAGATGTTTTAGAGAACATTTTTATTAGGAAAAATGACATAAATGCCCTACAAACTTTTTAGGGTTTACCCATTTAGTCCCTAAAGTTTTTGTCGGACTTTATGGGTCCCTAAACTAGGATATAACCCGCCTTTTTAGTCTCTATCAACCTGTAATAGCCAGTTCAGTGAACTTTTAGACCAAAAAAACTCACATTGTGTTCCTATAAAGCCAAAAAAAAATGTTGAGATTAATTCGTATTTTATAACTAAAAAAAAGTTCATTTGGCTCTATTCCATCTATTTCTATTTTCCAATATCTATTGGTAGTGTAACATTAAGTTGTGTCGACCGCTCCTCTAATATAAAAAGACCATGATTAATTTTGACTCTTCTAAATAATCAAGAAATGGCACAATTGGAGATCGAAGGTATTAAAATTTTGATTTATAATCAAATAATCAAGAAATGGCACAATTAGGAACCGAATGGGTAAACCCTAGGAAGTTTGTAGGGAATTTATGTTATTTTCCCTTTTTATTAAGAATCTGATTTTATTAGATGCTAAAATGGTAACCGATTCATATCGGCATACTTTTATACGTTAGCATGATGAGTCGTTTCATGGAATAGACTTCAGTAGTTCTTCCATAATGGCAACATAAATTATAGTATGTTATGCGGCATCAAATCATGGAATATGGTTGCGGAAATTTGTCACGATGCTACATATTATTGATATGATAAATCAGCAATGTTATGTTCCAACAACATAAGTTCTATTAAGTCGAAGCATATTAACATCTAGTTCCTTCTATTAACATAATAGTGCAAAATGGAATATATATATATATATATATATATATATATATATATATATATATATATATATATATATATATATATAGCGCATATGAACAGACTCCATGATAAATGATCTACTCATAAAGGGATTACCTCCATAGGTCTTTCCTGATCATACTACATGTGTTGGTATGATATTTGGTTTTAGTGGGAATTTTATGGTTCTTTATGTTTTGTTTAAGAACAATTATGTTTTTTTTCTACAGAATGAAGAATTTGGTTAACTCCATTATGAATTGCACTTATTTGAAGTTTGATCTCGCTTCAAGATAACGAGGAACTCGTTGGAAATCTATTTTGATTTAAAACCACACATCAAGTTTAATCTATGTCGTTAGTTATATATGTATATGTGACCATTGATAGGTTTAATTATGTAAATTGTAATAAATACGGCTTTGATCCAATACTTGTATGATTAGTGGACAAGATTGTTCAAGGGTATCAATATTATAATAACATTTATTAAAGCGCTTATATATACATATGTACATTTAAATATCAGTGGTCCAGTGAGTGATTGTTCGATAACTATGGGGCCACTTCATAAATATATAATGTTATCATTAAATTCAGTTATTATGGTAAGACTATAAATTGTTGATGGACCGATTTATAGAATATCCATTTACCTTTTGTGGATTGAGTTTTCGGTTTGACTCAAGATCCTTAATATCCCATCTATCTCTCACATTAGGGTATATCTCCATCTATATATATATATATACACATGATGAGGAGCAGATGAAAATACGCGAAATAGACATGTAAATTCGTTTAGGTTTTGCTGAGGGATTCTAGAGAGACTTCTTGAGATAAACTGGAAAAGTCATTCCACTTTTCAGATCCGAAAATTTCCATGGAAGCAGGTATCTGATGTTCCTTCTTGTTAAAATTTTTCTTTTAGCTAATTCGAGATCAAAGATCTAAATTTTAAGCTTCCGCATTTTGTATTTTGGTTGTCAAACAACATACAAAAAAAATGTGTTTTTTTGTAGTGATGGGAAGCTGAAACTCAATCGGTTGAGTGCAAAAGATGCAATGGTATAGGTCATAAGGATGATTTATGGTCTCATTTATTGATAATGTAAAGATTTATGCACATGGAACCGAGCAATGAAATATGCTAAATGTGTTGGTCTAATATGGGTAACATTCATTCTGTTATCACTTATGGTTGAAGTTTGAAATATGTAAGAAGGGAAAGGCTCATTTTTCTCTGTTGTTATATGTTATGTTTAGTCTCTAAAAATTTCACATGAACATAGTGGAGTTTTTAAATATGTTTTTGGTGATACATGATACAACTTCTGTTCACAATTCTTTTGATGCAAATCTTTCTATCCAAGATGTAGGAACTCAGATGCTAAATGCACGCCTTAAGGGTTTTTTGATATATTACGAAAGCACATTATCTACAACACACTTTACAGAAAAAATATATACATTAGGCATGTTTGACAAAACGCTCCATTTTGGACAGAAAGCCCATTTGGCAATACAAGCTTCTAGCATTTAGTTTAAAAAAAATGTTGCAGATCCAAATGCTATTGCAGGTAACGTTTAACAAAACGCTACTGGCTACAAGCTACCTACTACCAGCTAGTTTTGCCGAACACTCCTATTATATTTTGAATTTGTTTCAAGGTATAGTAGCCTTCCTAGTATATTAGTTTGGGAAAATCGAAAATGGAGTCTAGGATTATGGAAATTTTGCACAACTGTACCGATCATGAAGGTGCTTAAACTTGAAAGAATTAAAACTCTTTCCATGCTAAAATGTAGGAAATAAATGTTTCAGACCCTTCCTAGCTTTGTCAGTAACATATACTAAATTTTATAACATAGATTAAAGTGACTTCTTTTTTATTAAAAACAGACATCAGAACCCCAAGAACACGGGAAACAGATTGAAAGAATTGGAAATTCTGCAAATAATCTACTTAGTGACCTTGCAACCAATAAATGTGTTCTTGAGTTTCCATCATTTTGTATTGCTCTTTACTGAACTGTCCCCTTGAGTTGGTTGCTGCACTGAACATTGGTCAATTCTGCCTCCAACTCCCTCAGCGCAGCCTTCTTCTTGTCAAACCAGTTTTTCCATCTTGCTATTTTTCATTTTTTGCCAATTTAAAAAACAACCTACGAACATAAGCATCATAGTAACATGTATATATGGATGTAATGTCTTTTAAACACTAATTCTTCAAATACTCTACACTGAAAATTATCCTAGAAATAGTCTTTTAAAAAAAAAATACAAGATCTTGTGTTTATATGGTTCAAAGATATGAACTTTTCAGGATGTTATTTTACAAAGCATGATAAAATGGCCACCCATAGTGTTTGTGGCAATCTTATTAATATTGGGGACTTAAATGCCCATGCCAAATTACATTCCTATGTCTCTAGCCCTAAATAAGAACAGTAATAGGCGTGTTCAAAACAACATACTAGAAAACAAGATGGAAAACTATGTCTGTCTAACCTTCTGCAAATTTGCAACAAATACAACCACCTTCACATAAACCCAATCTTTGAAGCCATCAAAGAACGTAGAAAAAGCATGTCTCCCTCGATGGTTGAGAAGTAAGACACCACATACTATCCAAAATCCAGTAACAAAACCAGTCCCTACACCAATATAGAACCATCCCCAAACTTCATCAACACCTTCCGCATCTCCCTCATTTCTACCAACAACAACAGGTGGTTCTTCAAGTTCTTCATCTCCATGACATTTCTTGTTAATGGGAGGTCCACATAGTCCTGGATTTCCATCGTATCTTGATGGTTCAAAGGACTGGAGTTGTGTACTAGTTGGGATTCTCCCTGACAAGTTATTATACGACACGTCCAGGTAATCCAAATAATTCATTTGAGACACGCTTGATGGAATCCCTCCTGACAAATTGTTTCTAGATAAATCCAAAACTGAAAGGTTTCCCATCTGACCAATTTTCCATGGAATCTCTCCAAGTAGAGTATTCTTTGATAAGTTCAGTGCAACCAGTTCAAGAAGCCTGGTCAGTTCAAGAGGGATTGTTCCTGTCAAGTTGTTGCGTGACAGGTCAATGGTCTTCAACAATCCCAGATTAAATCTGATGAATTCACGTTCAACTCCTTGCCACTCAATCACTGCATGGTCAAAATAACTTGTTGAACCATGCCAAAAATGTGAAATTGAATAGAAAAAATGTCCGATTTGTGTAGCTGAGAATCCTCCTTGAACCATGCTCATAAGATTATTCAAACACGAGGGGATGGTTCCATGGAGATGGTTCCTTGACAAGTCTAGAATATGAAGATTCGGTAGTTGACATAATTGTAAAGGGATGGTTCCAAAGAAGTTGTTTGAGCTTAGGATAAGAACATACAACCCCCATAAGTTTTCCCCAATCCAATCAGGCACATTACCAGAAAACTTATTGGCCCCCAAATTCAACGAGGTTAAACTCGTGCAACTCCTTAAAGACAGAGGCAGTTCTCCAGAAAACTTTTTCTTGTATAAATACAATGCCTCGAGTTTGATCAAACATCCAACAGCTGGAGGAAGCCTTCCAGATAGATTGTTGTTTCCTAGATTAATAATTTTTAGTTCTTTGAAATGCCACAAGCAGTCTGGAAGCTGTCCGGTTAGAAAGTTATCGGAGAGGTCAATAAATCTTAAATAGCCATCTTTAATTTGGCATAAAAAAAAGATTCCTCCATAGAATTTGTTTTTGGAAAGATTTAGTGATTGCACAGTGGAAGAAACATTTGGTATCAGACCGGAAAAGTTGTTAGATCTCAAATCTATCACTGAATTGTAGTCAAAATTTGACGATAAATCTGGTATTTTCCCGCTGATATTGTTCAAAGAGAGATTCAATTATTGTAATTGAGAAGGCCACATGTCCCAAAACCCCAGAGGAATTGTGTCTGAAATTCTAGTGTTGGCAATATCCAGACGGGTAAGATTTTTGAGTGTTTGAATCCATTTGGGGAAGCAACGCCCTAGTTTGGCAGAGCTCACATTAAGATACTCTACATAAGAAAGGTTTGACATGTGATCTAGAAAAGGACGTCCTTCGAATGAGTTTTGTGAAAGATCTATATCAAGAAGGTTGGGAAGTTCAAACAATTTCTCATTTATAGTGCCATTTAATTGATTACTAGATAGGGACAATCTTTCTAGGGAAGAAAATTTTTCAATCATATCTGAGAGTGGCCCTGTAAAATGGCTATGAGAAGCTTCCAACTCTGCTAATGTACGCAATGTGCATCCAGACAAGTTGTTGAGAAAATCAGGAAAACTGACAACAGCAGAATTGTTATGAAATTCAAAATGTTCCAAACTACAGAGGTTACCAAGATATTTGGGTATCCCATCTAACATGTTGCTAGAGAGATCAAGATGACGATATATATGAAGAAGAGTTGTTTCCAAGATTGTTGTTTCCAAGATATTTGGGTATCCCATCTAAATGGGGACAACCAACGAAACATTGATGATGTAAGATTGTTGTTTCCAAGATAAAGGAAAGATATATATGAAGAAGAGTTGAGAAATGAAGAATATGGATACATGACGTGTGAGAGCTCACATCCCAATAAACTTAAATGTGTTAGTTTCTGGAGACTCAGAATAACATCTACCCAATGATTTTCTTTGGCTAGGGATATCCCATCCATTTCAAGTTGTTGTACATGAGAGAGATGAACTAGCCACTCTACATTTTCAAGTCTACAACTTCCAAGATCTCGAAGATAAAGCATGTGCAACTTGGTGAGGTTTCCAAACTCTGAAGGAATGATTCCATAAAGAGAGTTATCAGAAAGGTCAAGGTACCTTAATTCGGTCAAAGAACCAATGGACCTGGGAATGGTTCCATGAAAAGAGTTGTGGGAAAGGCAAAGGTCGGTTAATTCAGTCAAGGAACCAATGAAGGTGGGAATGGTTCCATGAAAACGATTGTAGCAAAGATCAAGACGATTCAAGTAGGTTAAGTTAACCAATGAATGGCTAATCTCACCTACAAGACCAAAGGAGCTGATATCAAGCTCTGTGACATGATGACCTGCTTGGCTGTCGCACCTGACTCATCTCCATTGACAACAGTCATCTTCTTCGGTTCCCCATGTAGAGAGACGACCATCAGGGTCATGAAGGTTTGCTTTGAATTGAAGGAGAGCATCTCTCTCCTTATCCAAACACTTGTTCGTGATAACACTATTATCGTCTCTTTCTTCCACTGCTACCAATTGGTTGGCAGTTGTATTCTGAAAGCATACAAAGAGAAGTGAGATAATTATAAAAACACAAGGATGCATGATGAAAATGCAGATGTTGGTGATTTTTGTTTGTGTTTAGGTATATATGAAGATGCCCCTATGAAGATTTATATAGTGCCAACTACTTTGAAGATGAATTATTAAAGTGGCTGGTCTCAAATTTATGACCTATCAGTGCGGGGCATCAAATACTTAATTTCCATGAAATTTAAATTGGCCCAAAGTAGATATTTCAAAGACTTACAAGTCTTGGAAATTTGTATTTAATATAAATACCTTTTCCAATCTTGTGATATATTTTGGTCATCAAATTATGTTATATATTTTTAAGAAAAGAATTTGCAACCATCACCAATCTTTCATCCGTGTTTAAGTCATTTTCATTATAACGAAATCAAACTCATGAAAGTAACACTACTAGAAAAAGTTTAATAGAGTACGGTTGAAATTGTAAATATAGTACGTACATAGAGGGCATATTAGTAGAGGGGTGTATTAGATTACATGCATAATAGAGTACGGCTATTTGACCGTATTATATTATCCTATCTACTTTTTACAACCATCGCATACAATCATCTAATATGCCATATATACACATCTAATACACCAGTAAACACATTTAATACACCGATAAACAACCGTACTTGATGTCTCACATCCCCTTTGCATTCCAGAGCGTTATTAAACAGACAATTCCACTCCAGCCTTATTAAACAGCCAATTCCAGTCCATGGATGTTGTAACAAACTTTTCAATTTCTGCAAAGCTACTATATGATTACCATGTGAATTGTAACCGAAGGATCAATCTCTACAAAATACAAAACTACTATATGATTCCATTCCAACCATAAGAAGTGGGACATCACTGATCATGTTTTCATTTTCAAAAATAGAAAAAAAAAAAATTACAATGAACTTAGTTCATTAAACAGAAAAAAATTTGTTAATGTCACATCTCTAACCTTTCTTTCCTCTTTGTCACCTCTAACCTCTCTTTCCCCTTTGTCACCTCTAACCTCTCTTTTCCCTTTGTGGTTGATTCATTGTATGCCTACAAAAATTAACAAGAAAACTTAGGATTCAAAATCTCAAATAACTTTTAACGAAGAAAACTCAAATTATAGGACTTTCCTGCCATTAACAACTTCATCTATAGCAATGCAAGGGTGAAAACTTCTCCAGAACATAAAAAATATGAGCAAATACAACATGAAATACAATTTGTGTACCTTACAAAAAGGCTTCACTTTATCACCAAAAGTTCTCATCCATGTTTTAACACGTTCCTCCAATTCCTCACTAGAAAATGCTTTTTTGTCCTTCCAAATGTTCTACAAACAAATTAAGATAAAAAATTTGTTATTTAACAAAGGTGAACCTTTATTACAATAAACAAAAATGAAAAAAAAAATCTAACAATTAGAAATAGTAAAACATAATAATATTATAAATAAGAATAAACTCAAACATACCTCAAATTCTTCCGTGGATTTTAGAACAAGGAAATTTTTCCACATTGCTTTGTCAAGGTACGGGTATTTTTTTACTGGATTGACACCATTGTCCCACAACTTAAGAAGCTCCGACTTGTAGGCCTTCCAATGCGTGTTGCAATCTCTAAATACTTGTGCTTTATGATCATCATCTCGTATATGCCAATGATTCTGCTTTTTTAAATAAAAAATGAAGATAACAACTTTTAGGTATATGATATGATACAACTTGTATGATAGAAGAGAATAACATGGCAGGAAATTGTGATTGCTAGTATTAAATGATATCAAAAGTGTGCTGAATTTAGTTTTACCTTTATGTTTAACCACAATTGATCTTTGTCACATTGATCCACTAAATCCCAACTATCTATCAGGATAGAAATCATCTTCCTCGTAGTCACTCCACGATAACTGGTGAACTTAAAGCGGTTAGATCCAATAGCTCTACCAAATTGATCGAACTCAACTGTTAAATTTGATAGATATTCTTTGGAGTGATCTCTGATCAATGTCACACGTCTCTTTTTCTTTTCTGGACGTTCCATTGTATTCCTACAAAAGCATAAACACTCGTATAATTAATTCTAAGAGTCTCGAACACCAAAAAAAACCAAAATTTTATATAAAATTAAAGATACCCAAGGTAAGTTTATATCTGGCTTCAAGATGTTTCGTTTTGGGCTTACCAACACTTCTTTTTCTGGTTTTTCTTTCTACCATACGGATCTTCCTGCTCTTAGTTGTTTTCACTAGTACCTCATCCATATGTAATGGAAAATTTCCGATGTATAACCTCAGACCTGCACTACTGGAAAAAGGTTAATACAATACACCATAATATAATACGGATATAATAAAGCCCGTACTAGAAAGGGATGTATGTTTCTAGACTCTAGTTAAAGGTGTATTATATATACACTTAAATTTGGAGAGGCTTGTCTACAATAGTTATTCCATTCACCTTCCGAGTGTCTCCCACCGCCGTCGACTTACAATCAAAGACGACCGTTCTTCCCCATCACCATCTATATTCCAAATTACTAGATTGACCTCACGGTCTTTGTTCTTTACAGTTCAGAGCCAAAACCCTATCACCACCACCTCCCTATACGTTGCTACTCTTCGATTATAGGATATCTTGCCAACTGCGAAGCCTCCACAAACGCAACCCCGACTCCATTATCGTCTACTTCTTCCCAATGCCCATTCTTTGGTTAAGCCCTAAATACATTCCATCGCTCACTGCTTCGTCTTCCTCCTCAATCAAATTGAGAGCCGCTGATGTCGTAGAAAGACAATCCTCCACCGCCTGTGTCATCAAACTCAGAGTCGCCGGTGTCGTAGAAAGAGAATCCACCACCGCCAGGTCGCCACCTCTAAAGGCTTCTCGTTCGTCTTCGTCGCCAATTCAAAATCGTGTTCTTAGGTCACTCGAAAAGCACTCATGGTCGATGAAATCAAAATGCGAAATCATGTTCTTAGGTCACTAGAAAAGCACTCATGCTCGATGAAATCATCAATTACGTTCGGTCACTACAAGGTCAAGTTGAGGTAAGTCGATAATTTCAAATTCTTATAAATAAATCCACCGATTACCATCAAGATGATTGTAGTTCTTCTTGTAGATATTTGAGAACCTTTTTTTCGCCTTTAATATCATTCGCCTTAAGCCGCCTCCAACTCCGTTGATCACCTCACTCACGACTCATGTTCCTCCAGCAAGTTTCGTCTTCGTCTACATGTGTTCCGCGACTCAATCCAACTTATTTGTAACCGGCCTTTAATTCCAATAAGATTGGGTTACTTTTCTATTGAATTGCAGTTGCTTCCAATTTCCATCAATGGCATCTCAAGCCGATTCATCTCTGCAAGCCATCTGTTATCACTGTGGCTCACTTCAACTACTTGATCAGGTCCCCTTTCTCCTTCATATTCACTTCATTTCATCTAATTGTAACTATTGTTTTGAGCAGAGAAAACTTCCTTTTGATACGATCTATTTGGAGATTTGAGATGTTGCTGAAGTGTAGTGTTTCCTCATAACTTTTTCCTGATTTGTTCTACTGTTTCACAGTCGTCCAACAGCTGTGAATCTTTCAGATGCTGCAACTAAACTTACAGAGATTGTCGAACTCTGCTGCAACTGCTACGGGTGCTAACCAAGTGTTCCTTGTAATTCTTCTCTCTCCTTGTAACTCATATCATGTATTCGTGTTTGATTTAGTTACTTTCTGTTCTTTGCTTTTTCGGGCTTACATTGAAGCTGCTGAAGTAATGCTGGAAGATGATGTTGCTTCCAATAAAGCAATCGGGTCATATGGATCTTCTTTCATTCAAATTCAACAAAAGGAATCTAAGAAATTTTCTGTTTTGACACGTTGTAATACTGACAGGCTAGTCATCTCCCTCTCTGCATGACATACTCTAGATCTTGAGCTACATGTTCTTATGATTTGTTCTTTATTGTTTCATTTCAATAGTCTTGCAACAGCTGGATTTGGAACTACTCTTAGAGTAATCTGTGCACTACATGCTGATGGAGTACTTGAAAGAGCTTATTGTACAGAAACCCGTCCATTTAACCAAGTAAACAATCTTCATTATTACATGGAAATACGGAATAGTTCTTTAGTTGTGTGTGCACCCTAGGTGTTCGATGAAATGTCTGACTCGGTCAATATTGTTTTTGTTCATTCGTTAAAGTGTAGGGATCAAGATTAACAACTTATGAATTAGTTCATGACAAAATACCCGCGACTCTTATAGCAGATTTTGCAGCTGCTGCTTTAATGAAAACTAGATCTATCCATGTTGTCATTGTTGGAGTTGATCATGTTACTGCTAACGGTATGTTATTACTATTTTACCAACAAATCCTTTGTTACTTTTAATCTAAAAAAAATTAATTTGATTTTAGGTGGCACTGCGAACAAGATTGGAACATATAGCCTAGCGTCATCTGCTAAACATCATGGTGTTCAATTTTACGTTGCGGCCCCCTTGGCTTCAGTTGACTTGTCATTATCTTCCGGAAATGAAATTGTTATAGAAGAAAGGTCACCAAAGGAGTTACTTAACACACATGGTGGTATGGGAGAACAAGTTGCAGCTTCTGTGATTTGTGTTTGGAATCCAGCTTTTGATGTTACACCAGCTAATTTAATATCTGGTATCATAACTGAAAAGGTATTCTTCAATCTTCAATACAAAAGGCATTAATTTATGTTATGGGTATATTATATATATGATTAATTTATGTTACACACACATGATTTTGTTCTTATTATTCCATTTTCTAATTTTCTATCTATATCCCTAGGTGGTGAGGCTTTGTTTGCTTTTGACTGTCAAGGAATCTGCAATTAATGGGCCTAGAAATTTGAAGTATCACCTTATATATGAGAATGCCAAATCCTCCAATTGTCGGTAACATGGTCACATATAGGTTAGTAATTTTCCAACTATTCACTTATTTTATTCATCATTGTCCATAAGATTAGATTTTGTTGGTTGTGTAAACAGGAACTTCAGTGTTTTGACTCCATCTGCTCTCTATTCATAAGAAGGAAAATGAAGATGCAATTTCAATTATATTTTACCTCCAGACGATAGAAGATATATCAAGGTGTTTGTCGATATTAGTTTTGACTGTTGTCCCTTCATTTAGAATCAAAGATCATGAAGTTTGTAATTGGATGTTGAATATGGCTGGAATGCAATTAAGAATGGCCGCTAGGAAGGAGTCTGGGTTTGGTATCTTGACATCTAGTACGGTTGTATGAGTAATCTAGTACGGTTGTATGAGGAGATCGTATGGTGTATTAGATGGGTGTGTGTTTGAGAGGATTCATATCAAGTACGGTTATGTATGGGTGTATTAGATGTGTATATATGCCGTATTAGATGATTGTATGTGATGGTTGTAAAAACTAGATATGATACATATAGTACGGCTAAATAGCCGTATTCTATTAGGCATGTAATCTAATACACCCCTCTACTAATACGCCTCTATGTACGTACTATATTCATAATTTCAACCGTACTCTATTAACCTTTTTCTAGTAGCTGGTTATAAGAAAATGAGCATAAAAGTGATGATAGAAAATGATGAGGGTAAAGATATGTTAAAGATTATGACTTAATCCAACTAATGAGAAGATTATGACACGTTTTTTATAGTAGATCAAAACATAAAAAAAAAAATCATACTAAAAAAATGTGATAGAGACCTTGATGGTTATATAACATAAAAATAAGGACCAAAACTGTAAGAGAAAGCTTTTAAGGACCAAGATAGCTACCATTGGCACTCTCAAAAGAAATATGATGCAATTTATAATCAAATACAGCAAAAAAGAATTACATTTGATGGAAAAAAACAAATATGATGCAATTTATATTCAACGCCTATTGATGGGTACTGCAAGAACGGTCAAATAAAGGCAGTTGTCCGCATGGCAAATTTGTGTGAGGTTTTTGGGCATACGGTAAGATGTTTGAATGCTATAAATATAGGAAAGACAACTAATTTTGTATAATATTTGTGTGAGGTTTAGGCTCCCATCAATTCAGCCCATTTGTTTTTATCTATTTTGATAGGTTAATGGTGTAGCACAATTGCACAATGACATCTTAAAGGCAGAGTTATTTGTAGATTATGTGTCAATATGACCAAACAAGAAATTTGGGCATTACTCCTAGACGTTGGCTCAGATTTTGTAGTCTTGAACTTAATCAGATCATAACAAAATGGTTAAAAACAGACAAGTAAAACGCATTAATTCCATCTGCAGAAAATAGGTATCTAGTAACTACTTGTGGGTCTGCAGGAGGTACAAGTAACTAGTTTAAGTGCAATTAGATTATCTCACAACCTGCTCTTCCCTAAGCTTAATCTTTAACCCTAAACAAAAAATTTCAAATAAGAAACTAAGGTTTTTGGAGGTGTGTTGATTTTCACCATGAATGGTGATTTCAAACCTTGCAGATTAAAGAGATAAAAGTATGGAAGCAAAACCACCTACCTTTTGGACTTAATCTAGGAGAACTTGAAGAAGGTTTGAAGTTTTATGATGCTATGGATGGTTTTCCACCAAAGAGGTTAGAGAGAATGAACAAAATAAGATGCTACCAAACTTCTAATTCCCTTTCATTTACTTTCATTACTTGTAACGTGTTCATATGCATTGACATCTGTTTGAGAGTGCATTAAAATTGTCATATCCTTTAACAAGTTTTCAAACACACCCTGGCTTGGACTAAATCAAATATTACACTCTTATCATTGCATGCATAGTACACTCTTTTGAAAGGGTATCTAATATTCTAATGTGTTTATATTTACAATAATTATGTAGATTTATAAAGAAAATGTTGCAAGTAGAATAATTTCAGCAACCAACTATATCCTTTGCAAAATGTAGCTTAAGTTCAACCTTGAACAATTTCAAATTTCCTTATTCAATTTCAAACCTTCATACAAAAAGCTAATTTCACAGCAAATAGTGATTCTGTGTCACATAAGTGGCAAAATTGTGGTAACCTTGAAATCAGTTAACAGCTGATCAACTAACTCGATTGGAACAGAATTAGAAAGTTTGGCAACCAAGAACTGAATCATTAATAATAGATGAAGTAGTTTTATATTTATATCCAACAACTTAGCATAATGGGATTTACAGAATAACTATAGCACTATTGGTGTATACAGCTCCTCTTATACCAGGAAGTGAGGTGTCACAGCATATAAGTACAGCTGGAATGGAAGCTAATGGGATAAGTAATATGAAATTAGCACTCAATGGATGCCTGATTATAGGAACATTAGATGGGGCTAATGTTGAAATCAGGAAGGAAGTTGGAGAGGACAATTTTTTTTCTTTTTGGAGCAACAGCAGATGAAGTTCAAAACAGAGTCGATGATGCTTTCTAGGGTTATCAACCAGAAATATGAAGTAATATGTCGTACAAAGAGAAGACATTGTCATAAACACAACATTAATCAACGAATAAATCAACTACACCCAAAGTCCGAGCGTACCTGTAAACAACATGAAAGAAGGAGGCAGAAGCGGCTGTAGGCCGGAGTAGGAGACTTCGTCTGTCTCGTCGACCGGAGACCGGAGGCGGAGGCGTCGTTGGCCGAAGGCTAAGGTTTCGTATAAACAACTCTAAGTAATAGAGCTGGAGAATTTTATTCGTCGTGGAAGAAAGTCAAAATCTCTATTTCTGATGTACCTGCGAACATCCGTCTAAGTTTTAAAATAAACGTAATGAACAACTTTCTTATTTAATTTTTTATTTCAAGTATTTTTACTCATAACAATCTCCTATTGAATTTAATTGCCTCATGGTATTTTCTTCCCTTGTACTCGACATGGAATATATCAAAGCATTAGAATAGTAACATGATTTGGATAAGATTAAATACGAAATTTTAGTGTTTTTTTTTCCTAATAGTAGTCCCTGTGATTTCTTTTCATCATTCAACAAACTGCTTTTTTTTTTTTTATCTGAAAACCGATAACAAACCTAAAATAATAAAAAATAAAAATAAAAAAAGTCACTTGTGTTACCCTACAATTCTTCTTACATGAAACAAATCATAAAAAATAAATATTAGGATGAAAATACAAAAAAGGATAAAGTACAGAAAATAGTCAAGTGGTTGAATCAATAAACTGAACAAGAACTGCTACAATTATTATTATTAAAAATTGAGGGGTAATATTGACCTTTTGGCACAGTTATTCTACTAAACTGCAGCTTTCTGAAGGATGAGGGCAAAATGGGAATTCGATTATTGCTTGAACTGGTTGCCCAAACCTTGGGTCATTCCAAAGCTTTGTCCAAGATCGCCCGTTCGTGCTTTCATGCCCTATAAAGGGGCGAAATGGTCAAATTAAAAATATATTACCCCAAGGGTAAAATTATACTTTTATATCATCATACAAACCTGGACACTTTTTTGATGCACATCTCTATATGCTTCTGTTATGTACCTCTCTTTTGTTATGTACTCTTTTCTTTTCTATGACAGGAATGGAATCAGTCATTCCATTCGCCTATCAATTCCATTCCTTTGTGAATAATGGTTTTGTGAATAATCAGTCATTTTGTGTTTCCGGACAATGCAAATGGATTCCACTCAGCAGTGTTAATTTTAATTTTCTAGTCATTTGATTTTCAAGTTTTTACATTTACAATATAAGCTTTTTATACTTTAGACATTCAATTGTTTAATTATTTAAGTCACTAATCATAAAAAAGTAAATAAATAAATAAAAAATAAAAAATAAAAAACATCCGACTTTCCATTTGTTGACTTTTTGACCGACTTTGACTGAGCCCAATATCAAAATGAAGACCGAAGAGGAGTATGTTGAAATTTCTATTGCCCTTGCTTGTTGTTTCTTTATGTATAGATAACAACATCTAACAGAAGCAAATAACACAACACATATAATAAGCAAAGCAATTAACACATCTATCTAACAACTGCAAAGCCAATTACTGTTTGAGTTTGTGATGCTTAACTACTCCATGACTCAAAATTCTATCAACAATTACTATAAGAATTTTTTGAGACTGCTGATCAGGAATCCTCGGAGGAAGATATGCCAAAATGACCATATTGACCTTTTTAATTCTCTAATCCTTCTTTGATGTACCTGAAAGAAAGTGAGCAAACCAAACCATGAATGAAAGGGCATTTTGGTCATTTGATCAACACTCAACTCCATACATTTTTAATGAATCCATTAGTGGCATCACACTAGGAAAACTTTGCATCTCCATCAAAGCCAAAACGCTTCCTTGTCCTTCGTGAACAGTTGTAGTTCCTTTGTATTTGTATTTCTGCTCTTGTTTTTCTATTGCAAAAACAGAAATCAAATCTCTTACCTTTAAATTTGAACCGCTACCTGTGTTTGTCTATTGCAAAAACAGAAATCAAAGCTCTTACCCTTTAAATTTGAACCGCAGGTCCGGTGGTGGGATTTTCAGGTTGGTTGAATTATTGGAGGTGCCAAGTGAGGCGAGGCTGGCCGATGATGATGATGTTGCGATAGGGGAGATGGAGATGAAGGACCGATTAGTGTGGGAGGAGGAAGCTAAGTATGTGAGGAGGAGGAGGCGTATTCAATTTAGGTATTAGCTGTACTTAATCAAAATGGGAGCATATTTTTAGTTATTTGATTTTGTTTCTAGTACATCTCATTAACCATATTAGATGCTGCAATTAACCGTATTAAATGCTGCAATTGTGTGTATTATATTTATTTATCCCTTTATAATACGGGTTTTTTTACAACCGTATTAGATGGGGGTGTACTCTATAGCCAATTTTCCAGTAGTGGTACTTTCATTCATCTACAGATTTTTTTTACTAAATTAACGGTATTATATGTTGGTAATTATTTGTGTTTATGTAGCTTTGCTGGAACAAGAAGGTGCAAGCTTATAATTTTGAACGTCAGAGATGAAAGAAAAGAAGCTTGTATTCCCAATTCGACAATTATTTTGGATATAAACACTTGATTTCAAACTCATTTTGTTTTGTTGCTAATAAATTAAACTATTGCTCGTGACATGAGTTTTATTATAGAGTGTTTCAACAAGTTTTCATATTTAAGTTTTTGCCATGAAAATTTATAAATTAACTAAATACAAATTACAAAAATGCAATTTTTTTTGACATATTTGATAAATGCTACTTTTCATGTTCACAGTGAGTTGAACTGAGAACTTACCAAAATTCTATATATAAATTACAACTTTTTGAACCCATGCAGGGTCAATCTATACACAAATTCTACAAAAAATAGAAGTTTTTAAAATGTTACATTTTAGGTCTGTATATTTGTATGTTATTTGCTAAAATAAACAAATATTATTTTATTTCTATTTTAACAATATTAACCCGACTAAACCAACCTGGTTAACTCGAAACCCGACTAACCCTAAGCTGACTAACTCGAACCTTAATAGGACCAGGTTTAGGGTGAATTCTTAAAAAAAAAAAAAAAAAAAAAGACCGACCCGGCACGTTTTGGTGGAATATCAGGCCCTTTATATGTACTTCACTGCAGCAACAATCACTAAAATATATCTCTGTTATGTTATGTGAGAAAAGAAGAAGAAGAAGGCTTGTTTATCGACTCAAAAAACTGCTGCACTATATTCAGAAAATAGATGGCTTTTATAGCCTACAAAAACCTAACGACTCCAAACAAAACAATCCCACGTTTACAATTTTTTAGCACCTTAACTACCGATCTGAAAGGCCCAAAAGACTTGGTCCATATGACTCATTCAACCCATGACCTACTACGTTTTATGCAATTACTAAATTAAATAGTAAACTAAAATAACCTGTCAAGATTAAACCCAACACGTTTAACCAAAACCCAATATACACGTCTCAATTGAATTCAAAATGTGAAATCCCCTTTCTCTTTTCTAAATTTATCTCTTGAATTGAATTCAAAATTTGAAATCCCATTTCTGTTTTTCTAAATTTCTCTCCTTAAACCCTAACAGAAGGCTTCCTGGGTTGCTAATGGTTTTTACATGCCGCTACCTTATCCACCGTCATCATCACAGTATGTTCCGACACAGGTTTCCAATCTTTGCTGCTCTCTGCACCAACGTCATTCAACATCGTTACGGCCTTCAAATTCATCTACCTATATCTCCAAATATTATATAGAAACTTTCTGTTAGAAAGGTGTTTTAACATTTTAGGAATATCATTTAAACTAATAAGGTGATCTTGATTGTTTATAAAAGTTTAACATGTTGATGTTTTTGATCCAAGAAGGTGCAGATGGCATCATGTGGTCATGCTTTACTTTTAGAATAAAAGGAACATTTACAATCTCTTTATTGGCACTTTTTGGGACATTTGTGTTTGTTGATGAACTTACAACTTATTTGGGAGGACACCATATAGGTATTTCCATTCTTCCACTCCCAGTTTCTTGTCTGTTGATGAATTTTTCTTGCTGATGTTGTCAAATAAAAAGAAAATTTTGCTAGCTTATGTTATTTGGGAGGACACCATATAGGCACTTCCATTCTTCCTCTCACAAAGCCCACAAGACCTTTTCCAAATATGTTTCTAATCTACCCAAATATTGTATTTATCTTCTTCTTCACATAATTTTTTTTTGTCAAATAAAGCATTGAATCATGTTGGTTTTTTTATCAGGTGTGCATACATATTACAACAATACAGATCTCTTCTTAATGGAATGGTGGAAATAGCCAATTATCCATTAGGTAAAGGAGAGACACTTGCCAATTTTGCAGTTGATAGAATATTGGTGGTGGTGCTAGAGATTTAGGTGTTGCAGGAGGTTTAGGTGCAACATATTGTTCACCTTATATCACAATGGACGGTGGTTATCATGTTAGGTCATCTAGCCAAACCTCTGTATTCACTACTAGAAACTTGAGTTTCAGCTATGGATTTTGCTACGGATTTGTTCTCTAGCAAAATTTAGACTTATAGCTAGGGAATTGCGATGGATCTACCATGTTTTTGATAGTTATTTTATTTGTTTAACATGTGGAATATTAGTGAGGATTTACCGAGGGATCAGCTATGCATCTCGCAAGTATTATCGATGCACCACTATCCCTCGCTAATCAGTCGAAAAATGAAGGGCCTTAGCTAGGGTTCAACGACGGATAAAAAATTGCACCAGCTGGTACGCGTTTAGCGAGAGAACATCGACGGAAACTATATTGTGGGTACGCGCGTTTTGTTTTTTCTATCGCCAATCTCTAGCTGAAATTGGCACAACCCAGTTCCATCTTCACGAAATGCATTGGAATTTCTGGTACGCGTTTCCTTCCCTCCAGCACTACTCACCCACTTCCATCTTTCAAGTTCACGAAATGCGTTTTGTTTTTTCTATCACTCTGGACTCTGGACATGAATTTTGAACAGATGACGGCATAGAAGTTCCCTTCAATCTGTTAACCCACTTCCATCTCACAATCTCTGTTTGAACAGATGACGATGACGGCACTACACACCCGATTCCGGCAACCTCCGCATTTTTAAGCTGAAAGTATTCTTCGTTAACTTTCGGATTCAGGTAAATCTCATCCCTATTAGGTTTAGTTTTAGTTCAATTGCACAATATACTTTGTTAGGGTTTAATTTCTCATTTTTTCTTTTTCAATCGATGTCCCTCTTATCTCTCAGCATTATATACATGAATAACCCTGAAAGTTAGAATTAGAACTTGATTTAGGGCTTGATTCATCATAGTTTGTCATCCAATTTATGAGAATTTAAGGATTCAGGAACACCAGTTGTAAGGACTGCTAGCAGGGATAAAACACTGCCCAACATGTTGAGTTGTAGGTCAGTTACAGTCGCAATACCAACTCCCATGAGAAGAACAGTAAGTGAGAAACGGATCTTCTTGCTGTAAAAAGTGATAAGTCACCTCAAATATGATTCATGAGGGTAAAATTGTCTGAATGGACAAGAAATTTCCGAAAAGTAAATCTTGAAGAGAAAATGGTAAGAAAAAGAAAGGTTAAAAAAGGTTAACCTGAATTGTTTGCTGAAGAAAAGAGTCTCTAAAAGAACAGTGCATGGGATGATTGCTAATTTGGTCATCTGAAATAAAACCATGAAAAAACAAACATTACATTTCCCTAAAACTAATGAAAATATTAAGTGTAAATGAACATTTTATACACTTTTGAAAGATTTTAACACAATAGGTAATGATTATTAAAAAAAATTGTCATCTTTAGTTGCATTTGCATGAGTTGTCTCAATTATGATCTTCCATAACCACAGGGAAGAATCACTAGCTTCCTAACCCTGAATGTTATTTCATTAATATTATAAGTTTTCACTTCCTTTTGGGGTATGTGTATCAAGAGATGTGGCTGCTATGTTTTTATGACTTATGTCATTACATTAGGAAGTATACGTGTTTTTACCAAAAAACTCTATTTTGCCCTTAATTTGCATTGGAAAGATTTGCCCCGATAATTTGGTGTTGCTCTCATCTTCTAGTTCTACATCATGTTGTGTTGGGTTGTTTCCAATAAAATCCTTTTGACACTTTTAACTGGGTTGTTTTAGAAGCTTTGTCTACCTGATTGGTTGTTATTATTATTTTTTTGGCCTCTATTTTGGCTGCTTTAGCTTCTTTCTACTATCTACTCCAGCTTCTTAAGCTAGTTTTATTTGTTTGTCTTTGTCGTAATAAAAAGATTTATGTGGTGTAATAAAAAGTCTTATTATAGATATATGGAGCAATATAGAATGTGTCATTTGAAGATATCAATAAAAAAGTTTCATTGTGGGTCTCATTTGTGTTTTGGTAGAAGCTTCTCAGATTTGAACTACAAATTGTAGTTATTTGACTATAATTATTTGTTTGTTTAAGGGGCCTCATTTTTGCCGTCGCCCTGGGCCCCAAATCGGCTTGGACCGATCCTGTCTCAAGGGCACAGAATCATAATCTTCTTCTTCTACTTCATATAAAATTACCAAAATACCCCCCGAAAGACTTGTTATAGGATGCTTACAGGTTCATCATCTGATTCTGATGTTTGCAAACACTCTTCGAACATCCTGACATCCTGACCTGCTGCTAACTGCTAAGTTTTCCATCTAAATCTTTTTATCTCTCTTTTTCTTGTTTTAATTTTAATTCTCCATTTTCAGCACGAAAAGGGATTTTCATATGTGTTCCATTGTTTTCAAAGCCATTGTTGACTTGTTCATGTTGATTTTCCATTTGACTTTGACCTCCTGAATCACTTCTAGCCAATGAAGAGCATTGTGTTTCTGTACTGGTGTTCAGTATCAAAATGAAAAAGATTAGACAATTTGAGTAATAAAAATTAATATCATTAAAAAAAAAAAAGCAAAGTCAGAGAAACCTGTTGCATGAAGGACCCATTATGCAGTTGACATGTGATCATAAATTTTGTACCATTATTAATATACATACCATTTTGTTAAAAAAACAAAAAAAGCTCAAATTTCAAACATTTTATGATCGCATGTCAACTGCATAATGGGTCCTTCATGCAACAGGTTTCTCTGACTTTGCTTTTTTTTTTTTTTTTTTTTTTTTTTTTTTGATATTAATTTTTATTACTCAAATTGTCTAATCTTTTTCATTTTGATACTGAACACCAGTATGCTCAAGAATTTTTATTACTCAAATTGTCCATTGTTGACTTGTTCATGTTGAATTTCCATTTGACTTTTTCAAACTTACCTTTCAACTCTCCAAAAGTGATGAGGCGATTAAGACAATCCTGAAAAGCTGTCAAGACAATCTTCTCCTGAGCAGCATAAGTTTCAGTCACCACCTGTCCATGTGGCAGCTGAGCTGGCACGTGGGCCCCACCGGGTATAGAATTTGAAGCAGTGAAAACCGTATCTTGTTCATCACACATCAATGCTAAAGTTCCAGGGGACATGGGACTCCCTTTTGACCCATCTGGCCCATCTGAACCCGACCCATTTGGGCCCATTTCATCATCATCATTGTGGGCCCCACTTGAAGGTTCATCTGCCACCACTTTTTCAGTTTCAGGTTCTTCTTTTAATGTTGAGCTTTCTCTCTGATCATCTTTATTTTTACAAATAAACAACTCATTTTTTTTTTTAAAAATAGAATGTAAAGATATTATATTTTATAATAAACAAAAATAAATGAAAGTACATTGCTATTTTGTTACAATTACCTGCAAGCATTCTTGCAGCTTCATTTGCATACACCACTAAAACAGAACAAAGCTCCTTTATATCATCCGGCCTAATAAGATCTACTAAAAGAGACCTTCAATTTCAACAATTGATCAAATAGTTAGTTTTATAATAAAAAAAACATTGCAACTTAAAAGATTTTATAAACATGTATACATGCAAGAAACAACGATGTAGTTTCATTAATTTGTTGATTATAATAGGGTTAATCTCAAAAAAGACCTTATCTTTTTTCCAGATTAAACCTCCAAAAAAAGTTGTCTGCAAAAAACCTTGTGTTTTTTCATTTTTTTTTTTTTTCTGAAAAAGCCCTCAACTTTGTATTTTTTTCCGAAAAAAAAAACCTTCAACCTTCTAAATGCTTCCAAATACACCCTCAATTTTTTTGTTTTTCTCGAAAGAATCCTAACATTTTACAATTTTTTTGGGGGAAATTGTCAAATTAACAAAAAAGAACCGATTATTTCATTTTGGCTCAAATTAACAAAAAAGTCATTTTTTTTCTTTTAACAAGAAATCATTGTTGACCGTTTCGTCCTCGAATGACATAAAAGATTTGGGTGGCATTGGCAAAGACAAGATACCACACACTATCTTGATTCCTGGCTGAAACCCAATTTGTCCTAGTCAGCATCCGAACTAAAAAAAAAAGTATAATGACCTTAAATATTTATATAAAAGCTACAAACCTTTTCCCACATATTCCCTTTTACTTGTTTCTGTCCCTCTTCTAGAACTGATCCATCAGGACCTAACCAAACTTCATATAAAAGCTACAAATCTTTTCCCACATATTCCCTTTTACTTGTTTATGTCCCTCTTCTAGAACTGATCCATCAGTGCAATCTTTGTAATTGATCCCTACAAACTGCATATTTCAAGAAAGTTACATATTGACCAAAGAATAAATAACGTTGACCATTATTTTAAGGACACTGACCTTCAACATTTTGAGCTCCGTTTTAGTGATCACCCGATTGTTTATCTTTACTTTTGTGTTTCCATTGCTAGCATTTTACATGATTGAACCACCAAGTGACAGTTGAGGGGTAATTCTTTGAAGACAAGGCTTTGTTGTTTTTAGGCCTGGCAATTGGGTTGGGTTCGGGTTGGCAGGTCACGGGTTGGCGGGTTGGCGGGTTGAAATTCAGAAACTCAACCCAACCCATATAATATATGGGTTGGCGGGTTGTTGGGTCACGGGTTGATGGGTTGGAAACATCAACCCAACCCAACCCAACCCATATAACCTATATAAATATATGGGTTGGCGGGTTCACATGTCAGTGGGTCGAACCCAACACGTATAACCCATTTAATAAGCAACACATTTTAGGATGAAATTGAAAAATCCAATTAAAATGAAGTCTAAAAGTCGTAAACATTAAACATAAATTCATAAACATCCAAAATAAACATTAAACATAAAGTCATAAACATCCAAATAAAACTCTAAAAATCAAAACATTCATGAAAAGTGCAATTGTTCAAACATACTGTAGAGTGTAGATTGTTACTTACCGTAAAGAGAAAGGAAGGTGGGTCGAAAACGTCAAAGCTGACAAGAGTGAGTACGAACAACAATGAGCGAATGAGGAGCGGGTGACGATTGGCCCGATGAGTGATTAAATCATGAGTTCGTGATGTTGCTTCCATCGAAGATTGGTCCTTAACTCCTTAATCTTTATCCTTCGTTCGATCGTTCGTGAATGTGGAGACTGGAGCGGGTGAGGAACGATTTTTTTTATTAAGGCACACAAATACCTAATGCCTGGCTGCACAAGGACTCAACAATCAACACTCAAGGAGTCAAGGTCAAAGATGGATGATGGGATCATGAGACACAAGCCCAACAGTAGCCCACAACACAATGCCACATTGCCCAAACATATGGCTGATAATATACGAAATTACGAACGAATACCAAATTAAAATTGAAGGATATGATAAATAGAAACTAATAGTATAATATGATGTTAGATTGTTAAAAAAAATAGATAATTAAATATATTAGGCAGGTTGGCGGGTTGACCCGCGAACCCAAACAGGTAACCCAACCCAACCCATTAAATAAACGGGTTGGCGGGTTAACGGGTTGACGGGTTGGCGGGTCAGAAATCTCAACCCTAACCCGCTTATTTTCGTGTCGGGTTACGGGTTGGGTCAAGAGTTGCCACCCCTAGTTGTTTTCATCTTTTTATTGAATAAAAATAAAATATACCTTTTTTGCCCTTGCTTCAGCCATCCTCTGTTTTTGCCTCAGTTTCTTCTTTTGTGAAGTAGGCATTTTTGCTAGCTCATCATTTTCTTCAGTTGATTATTTTTTTATCAGATGTTATATCAAGTTGGTAGTCACATTGTAACTAAATTCTTTATAATATGAAGTGTGATTTATATTTGATTGAATGAAGTACAAATTGTGTACTTAAGTTAAAACAATCATAATAATGATTATAATAATAATTAATATATTTAAGTCACATGAAATCCAACAAAAACAACTGGCAAATCGATCATAAATCTGTCACATGCATGAAACCACATCGTTATTTAAGCTTCTGTTCCTAATTCTACCTTACTCACTTTCTTTGTTTTTATTTATTAAATCAAGTATCGCTTTTTTGAGTATTAAAATTAACACGAATTTAATAGTACTACCAATAACTAATCTCTTATTATTTATTAAATAAGATCTCATAGAACTAATAATATTATTATACAACTTGATATAACATCTTTATAACAACATTAACTAAATAAAAATTAGGTACAAGAAATTAAAATATATGAAAAATTATTTTTTTTTGAAAAGATTGTATAGTATTACGTTACATAACAAAAGATATGCAAATGACACTTTAAGTCCCTGTAGTTTTAATATTCCGGAATTATATTTTTAGTCCTTGTAGCTTTAAATTTTAGGAATTACACTTTTGGTCACTATGAAAGTGGGAAATAAGCAAAAGACACTTTTGGTTCCTATAGTTTTAGTTTTCCAGAATTATATTCTTGGTCCCTAAAGTTTTTAGTTTGCGGGAATTACATTTCTGGTCCTTGTAGTTTATTTTTACAAAATTACATTTTTAGTCCCTGTAGTTTTTAATTTGCAAAAGCTAAATTTCTGGTCCCTGAAGTTTTAAATTTCTGGAATTACAATTTTGGTCACTATGAAAGAGGGAAATAAGCAAGACACTTTTGGTCCCTATAGTTCTAGTTTTCCAAAATTATCTTTTTGGTCCCTGAAGCTTTTAGTTTGTAGGAATTACAATTCTTGTCCCTGTAGTTTTAATTTTCCAAAATTACATTTTTAGTCGCTACAGTTTTTGGAATATGATTGCATAGTTATAATAAAAATAAGTAATTCATATTGTATAATTGTAGTTTCCAAGGATGCTTTTAGTAATGTGCATATGATTACATTATCTAATTTCTAAATAGTAGTTATATATTTGGTTGTAGCTAGTCATTATGTCAACACGTAGTGATAGAGACTGGATGTACAAAAGGTTAGATCATGGGTATCTTAGCACAACATATCATGCATCCATCAAAGGATTTCTGGATGTTGCTTTTTCTAATGAAGCAACCGTTGATGGGGATTATATTAGATGTCCTTGTTTTAAATGCAAGAACATGTATTATAAAACAAGAGGTGATGTAGAGCTTCACTTGTTACAAAATGGTTTCACTCCTAACTACACAACTTGGTGGGCACATGGTGAAAGAAATACGATACCTCAACATGAGGAAGAATCTTCTAATCCGATGCAGGATCCGATGGAAGATGATGATGATGATGTTAATGGGTGTACACAAATGTTGATGGATGTAATGGAGGAACGCCCGAATCCAACTGCCAAGGGGTTCTATGATATGTTGGAAGACGTTGATGAACCTTTGTGGGATGGATGTGAAAATTATTCAAAATTACAAGTTGCAACAGAGTTGTTGCATTGGAAGTCAGAATACAATATATTTGAGGCTGCTTATGATCACATACTTCCTATAATTAAGCGGATGTTATCCAAAGGTGAGAAGCTAGTTGAGAACTTCTATGAGACGAAGAAGCTTTTGAAAATAGTTAGACTCCCAGAAAAAAAGATCCATGCTTGCAAAAACCATTGCATGATATTCTATGGGGCAGATTCTGATTTGACTAAGTGTCGAGTGTGTGATCATGATCGGTACAAGAGTGGCAGACTGCCATATCTGGTTATGAGGTACTTGCCGATTGCTCCTAGACTCCAAAGGTTGTATTTGACAAAAAAGACGGCAAAGCAAATGACATGGCACTATGAACATCAAATAGAACCGGGTTTGATGGTCCATCCAAGTGATGGTGAGGCTTGGAAGCATTTCGACTTAATGCATCAAGAATTTTCAAGTGAACCACGTAATGTTCGCCTTGGGTTATGCACCGATGGGTTCAGTCCAAATAATTCAAATACAACCCCGTATTCATGTTGGCCTGTTTTCCTTTCAATTTATAACTTGCCTCCTTGGATGTGCTTAAAAGAACCATATGTTCAGTTAAGCATAGTTATTCCTGGAAAAAAGAGCCCAGGTCAAAATATAGATGTGTTTCTCAGGCCGCTAATTGACGAGTTAAAGATGCTATATACAAACGGTGTTGTCACTTATGATGCTTCGACTAAATGCAATTTCACAATGAAAGCTATACTTCTTTGGACAGTTAGTGACTTTCCGGCTTATGCAATGTTATCGGGATGGAGCACACATGGCAAGTTAGCATGTCCGTATTGTATGGGTGAGTCGGGGTCGTTTCGGTTACACCATGGTAGTAAACCATGTTGGTTTGACTGCCATCGAAATTTTTTACCTGAACAACACACTTATAGGGGTTACAAAACAGGATTTCTGGCTAATAAGGTTGAGAGATCTAGCCCCCCACCAATATTAACCGGTGATCAGATTTGGGAGCAAGTACGACACTTTCCAATTGTTTATGAAGGCAAACCTTTTAGAGCGAAGAATGCAAAATTGCCTGGTTTCGGGATTACTCATAATTGGGTTAAGAGGAGCATCTTTTGGGAGCTACCATATTGGCGGAAGTTGTTAATACGACATAACCTTGATCCCATGCACATTGAGACAAATGTGTTTGAAAATCTTTTCAACACTGTGATGGACACTCCGAAAAGGAAAGACAACATGAATGCAAGAAAAGATATAGAAATGTATTGCAATCGAGTGCAATGGCATACATGGAAGAAGGGAAATAAGGATATGAAAAAGAGAGCATCGTTTGCTTTGAGCAAAGAACAAGTAGCTAAAATATGCCAATGGTTGATTAAACTTAAATTCCCGGACGGATACGCCTCAAACTTGGGGGGTGCGTTAATGTAGATGATAATAGCTTTTACAAATTCAAGAGTCACGAGTGCCATGTATTTCTTCAAAGATTGTTGCCTATTTCTCTAAGAGGTATGGTGCCAAATTCAACATGGGATGCAATTACAGAGTTGTGTACATTCTTTCGTGTAATATGTTCAAGGGTGTTACGCGTAGATGACTTACAACGCTTGCAAACTACTATTGTTGAAACGCATTGCAAGTTGGAAAAAATATTTCCACCTGGATTCTTTGATTCAATGGAGCATCTTGTTATCCACTTAGCTTGAGAAGCTATGCTTGGTGGTTCGGTTCAATATAGGTGGATGTATCTTTATGAAAGGTATATTTTTTTACCATACAAAATATTCTACCATAAAACCTATGGAATTTCTAATAAGTCTTTTCCAACATCTTTTTAGGAAGTTGGGATCAATGAAAAGAAAGATAAAAAACCATGCGAAGGTTGAGGGGTCCATTGTTGAGGCTTACATGATTGGAGAAATATCGACTTTTTGCTCACAATACTTTTTGCCTACAATTGAAACCCGGTTGAATCGTGAGTCGTGTAATTTTGCCCCAGACATTCCTAGTTATACCATGGTCGACTCTCGATTAAGCATTTTCAAAGTTCCATCTCGAGGATTATTCGAAAAAAGTGGACAACGGTGGCCTTTGACAGATGATGAGATGCGTATTGCTCATAATTACATCTTGATCAATTGTGTTGAGGTTCTACCTTTTTTAAGGTATGTCAAGTTATCTATTTTTCCTTGATATCGTGAATCTCTAAAATGTTTGTTATTTTTTAAGGTTTTTTGAAAATTATGTGATCCAAAGCCAACCTGATATGGATGATGGAGCATTTGAAAGGTTTAGGGATCAACATTTTGCTAACTGGTTTAAAGATCATGTGAGTATGATACGAGAAAATTTTGTGTTACCAAAGTGTCTTCCCCCGTGAATTAGTTAACAAATGAATTTATCAATGTAGGTTTTTCAACAATCAAATGATATCAGTCAACATCTGAAATGCCTTGCACGAGGACCATTACGACATGTTAGGTCCTATAAAGGATACTTTGTCAATGGTTACAAGTTTCATACTGAAAAATATGGTGATGGATGGGTCACACACAATAGTGGTGTATGTGTAAGAGGGACTTGTTACAATGAGACTGAGTGTGACTATTATGAGTTGTTGGATGAGGTCTTAGAAGTAGAATATCAAGGCATAGGGCGTTGTATCGTAGTATTGTTCAAGTGTATATGGTTTAACCCAACTGAAGGGGTACGTGTGGATC